TAGCAGGCAGAGGGAGAAGCAGGCTCCTGCTGAGCCATGACCCTGATGTGGGACTTGATCCCAGGACCCTGGGATCATGACCTGAGCCAAAGGCAGATGCTTAACCGACTGAGCCTCCCAGGCACCCCGATTTAGAACACATAGTATGTGGCTCAGTCAAGTCCTGCCAGGACTTTATCAGGTTCTATCAGCCTGATTAATTACTCCTACCATAATCTGGATGCAATTGATTTCTATAAAGATAACAAATGAAGTTCCTCGTTTGTTGTATTGTCTTTCCCCAACCTGTTTGATAATAATCGTGAGGCTCCAAGTGTCTGTCTGTCTTAACATTTCGAAGGATCCTTCCATACCATGTTGTGTCAAGGCCCTAGGTCATGGTCTCATGGCTCCTATATTTTCCCTCATTAGCCGTTATGGCAGTTGAAATTAAGTGATTATTGTATAATTATTTGCTTAATGTCCACAATCCCACTAGGCTGTTATTAGATAATGAACTTTCTTATGAAAAATGACCTCATCTTCATAGAAAGGGATAACAAAGTAAACGAGGTATGACATTAATGCATTGAATTATCTCAACTTTAAGGGTCTCCCCTATTTTAGTCAATTTTGGCTGCTGTAACAGAGTATCGTGAACTGGGTGATTTATAGACAACAGAAATTTACTTCTCCCAGTTCTGGAGGCTGGAAGTCCAAGATCTTGGTGCCAGGTTCAGGTTCTGGGGAAGAACTTCCAGCTTGTAAACTGCCACCTTCCCCTTGTATCCTCACAGGGCAAAAAGAGGGAGCTATCTATCTGGCCTCGGATAATCCCATTCATGAGAATTCCATCCTTATGACCTAATCACTTCCGAGAGGCCCCACCTCCTTACCCCATCACACTGGGGATTAGATTTCAGCACAGGGACTTGGCGGGAGGGGGACAGAAAAATTCAGTCCCTAACAACCTTCATAAACTTTCACAAAAGTGGTTGAACAGAAGTACAGTGTTTTGTTCTGTTTTTGTTTTGTTTTGTTTTTTGTTTTTTAATTTACTTGAGTAATCTTTATCCCGAACATGGGGCTTAAACTCACAGCCCTGAGATCAGTAGTGGCACGCTCTTCCAACTGAGCTAGCCAAGTGCCCCACGAAGTAGTGTTTGAGGAAGGATGTGGGCTGGGAAACCAAGCTTTCTCTATTTGAATCCTTGCTTTGCCACTGTGTGATAAAGTAGGTTGAGTGGGTTATAATCTCCCTATGCTTAGCTCATCTATAATAGAGGGATAATTTTAATTTCTACTTTGTAGGGTTCTAATAGGGATAAAATGAATTAATATATGTAAACCACTTATAAGGGATTTTGGCACATAGTAAATACCCATTAAACATTATTAGTAATGGTTATGTTTTCATTGTTACTCTCATATCACTGGTGCCTTTAATGGCCTATCTGTTCTCCCATTTCATGATACTCTGTAAAATTTTAAATATTCCATTAAAAAAATACCACAAGTTCAAGGTGCTGCCATTTCAACATACCTGAGAAGTATTGTCCCACCTGTTTTTCCTTGCACAAAATTGGGGCATAGGTACATGAAGGGAATGGAGCCAAACATTCCTTGCTTTGCCCAAGGTCCACACTCCAGGGAAGGTACTCTCCCCAAATACAGGAAATAGAGGGTTGGTCCCTGCCTTTTCTTCCCATTGTCAATTGCCTTAGAGTGCTGGCTCTGGATAGGGAAGGATCCCTCTTCCACACAAAAAGTCAAGAGTACGATAAATACTGTTACAGAGGCTCAGCTACCTAGTCCCTAAAGCTGGTAATTAGGACCTTCTTTCAAACTACAGCTCTTGACCCCTTTGACACTCCTCCCAATAACCTATTCTGTTTGTCCTCTCAAGAGAGCTGCTCTTAGCTTCACGGTGACAATATTCCACTTTCTTGGCGGGAGGGGGACATCATCAGTGGCAGAAAGGATCTAGGGCTATCCCAGAAGCCCTTGCTCTCCTGGATTACCATATCCCGATGCTGGTCCAGCCTACTCTATTTCCCGGTCCCAGAATCCTGAGCTCTTCCTGCCTGCCCCCAACACATACACGTGCATGCCCACACGTATAGTACATTTTCTGGCTCTCACCAAGGGCATGCTCTTTGTGGCCAACAATTACTTCCTGAAAAACCAATCCATACTTGTCGAGAAGACAGAGTACTACTGGTTAAGACCAGAGGCTTTGGATCCATTAAGACTTGTGTTGGAATTTTGGTGTGGACACAAACTGTGTGACAGGGCAGTTTGCTTAGCATTTTGGAGCATCCTTCTTCCCCTTTGTTAAATGGAAATGGCAATTCCTATTTCAGCAAGCAGTTGGAATAAATCATTGAGATATGTAGATGGCACTTCAGGTAAGCCTTGTTTACTGTAAGCAGAGCATAAATGGAAGCAGTTGTTGATGTTTTATGCCAGTAAAAGTTTAGACAAAATATTTCCTCCTCTCACTTCTTCTCCCTCTGCCGAATTGTCTTCTCTACCTGGTAACATAATTTTATGGAGGTAATGTCTTTCATTTTGATGCCCAGAACCCCAAAGTGTTCTATTCATAAAATTCCAGCCCCAGGAGCATTTTGGTGAACTAGCAAGAGCAAAGTTTGAGCAATGAGAGGTCTAAAGTCTTCATTCCTGCTCAGCTGTTAACAAATCAGGTGATTTGGGGCAAGTTATTGTCTCTGGTAGACCACCAGTTTCTTCTCCTATAAAAGGGAACATTCGATAAGATAAGCTTTTAAGTTCTCTCTAGTTCTGACATGCCATGATTCTATATGAAAGGGTCATTGTCTGAGTGAATTCTCTTATTTCTACTGAAGAATATTAACTGATACATGTTCCTTCTGAGACCTCTCGTGTACCTTTATCTTGACTTATATTTTCCATCTGCAAAAACGGTACTTAAAGGCGGACTGTAGAACTGGTCATTCTGGGGTTGGATTTCAGCACCACCACTTGAACTTGGGCGAGTTATTTAACTTCTCTGGGCCTCAGTTACCTCATCTGTCAAGTGGGGATAGATGCAGCCTAAATGTAAAGGTGAAAAGAAAGCACTTAGAAATATATAACTCCAGGGGTGCCCTGGTGGGTCCATCAGTTAAACGTCAGACTCTTGATTTCTGCTCAGGTCATGATCTCAGGGTGGTGAGACTGAGCCTGTTTCTGGCTCCATGCTCAACGGGGAATCTGCTTCTTTCCCTTTCCCTCTGCACCTGACCCCGCTCACATATGCTCTCTCTCTAATAAATAAAGCTTCAAAGAAAAAAAAAAAAAAAAGAAAGAAAGAAAGAAATACATAACTCCAGAAGCTATAGTTTAATGTTCAGTAGGGTATCAGCCGTTTTTTTTCTCTTTAACTTTAACAGAATGCCTCTCTTTATGGACTGTGAATGCCCTGTTACCATATTACTGGTTCTCTCATTAATGAATAGGTTGAATAAAATCATTCACAAGTGTTTTATTCCATTTTTGTATGAGAATCATGTTTTTAATTTTTTGAAAATTATTCTTTGACAGGTCCTAACTAACTCCATCTTAAGACACTGTCCTCAATAGAGGCACTGGCAAATCTTGCTTTGCTAGAAATGCTGATTAAGTTATTTTAAGAAACAAAACCACACCTGGTTTCCATATTTAGGCTTTCTGCCCCCTTCTTCCCTATGTCAGTTAGCAAGAGCCAGGTCCTGTGGGGGGTGACGGTGAGGAAAAACCCCTTGGAGGAGTCTCCACCCACAGGAAAAAGAAATAAACAAGCAGCAAGATGAGCCGAGCAAAAAGAGATACTTTCATTGTGGCCTTTACATTTATGACTAGCAAGATAATGAAGGAAGGTAATTCTGAAAGCTTTATGTCAGTTTTAATGGTCCCTCCAGCACTGAGAAAGATAATAGTCAATGGATGGTGTCCATAAGGATTTTTTTCTTCTTCTCCCCTGACAGCCATTGACAGGATCATTTTGCATTTGCAACTGCTATCATTGAAGCATGGAGAAAAAGCCCTGTAAGGCCAGGAGGATGCGAGCGACTTCCCTGCAAGGGTCTCTATTGTCATCACTATGGCAATAATAGTTAGTATAATTTTCATTCTGCTTTTCCATAGTCTACTTAGTGGAGCTCAAGGCTATGGGATTTGGTTCACATAAAATCACACTAGCATAAAATCATGCTTTGTAATCTTGCAAGAGTATCTAACTGCACAGAGAACCTATGCAACAAGATAAAAATAATTACCAATGCAGGTCACTTGATTAATACAATTATTTATGGGATGCTAATAGCTTTTCAGAGGCTTTCAGATACAGTGTCAATTTGACAATCTTTTTTTTTTTTTCTTCTTCTGTTTGGATTGTTAGACCACTGCCCGTATTTCTCCCCAAGGACATGGCTTCTCATTTCAAGGGGAAAATGTAAATTAATTGCAAATCAGGTCCCGTCCTCCTCTGGTCCTTTTTCTTTAGTATCTGCAATTAAGTAATAAAGACAGGAGCCGTGCCTTCTATTTCATTTATGCACAACCTGGTCTAACAACGCGCGGCCCGCTAAAAGTTTCAGTCTTAATTAGCTTTTCGACGGAGATCATTAGAGACATCTAACACTTTCAAAGTACACTCTGTGGAAAGGGCCTCTGCGAATGAATCAGGTGAATGAAGGATGCTCACAGGTAGCGTTAGGGTGGGATGAAAAGTCTCCCAAAGGGACCTCCAGGTTAGGAGAAACCAGTTGGAGACAAAAGGGGTGCGAAGAAAAGAGGTGAAAATGAGAAAGAAAAGTAAAAGGAAAGCCAGCGACTGAGCACACTAAAAGAGAGGGGAAAAACACCCAGACGAGTCAGACGAAAAGAAAGAAAAAGCCGAGAGCCTGCGGTGGCTCAGACTGTAAACCAGGACGCGCGGAGGGGCGGAGATTACAGCCCACAATCCCTTGCGGCGCCTCCTCCCCTGGCGTCCGTCTCCTGGGCAACCCCGGTAAACAAAAATGGCGGCCGCCGGGAGCGGTCCCCAGTGGCCGATGTCTTCCCCTCTCCAGAGCGGTTCACGAACCGGGGCCCAGTGGATTCTGCCGCACTCAGAAAAAGAGCGGCAGTCTCGCTGGTCTTCTTTTCCCATGGGGCAGAGATCGAAAGGTACTTTCCACAAAGCCTCCTCCTACCTGCTCCAGCAGCTCATTCACCGCTCTCAGGAGTCGGACGCGGACGGAGAGGAGTACGAGGACGAGGCCGAGGGCGAGGGCGAAGGGGAATCCGAGGAGTCCTCAGAGTCCGAGATGCAGGATTTGGAGGTGTGCCTTACCCCCACCCCCTCTCTCCCTTCTCCAGGTGTCGCGCCCTGCTACTCGGGCGGCAGCTTCCCCACGCGCCCCTCAGCAGCCCTCGGGCTCTCGCCTCCCGCAGCACCTCTCCCCGGCCGCTCCTAGGCTCCTGCTCCTTTCTTCCCGTTCCCTCACCTTTTGCCTGCATTTATTTCCACGTGTCTCCTTTTTTGGTCCCTAGCACATTGGGTGTCTTAAGAGTCAAGTTTCACAGCGTCCTGATGAAAAGGCTTCCACCTATTAGTGTGCGGAGTTACAGCTTTAGCTTTGAAAAGTTGTGCTTCGACGGTATTGGGAACGTGCAGAGTTCGTCCTTGGCAGCCCCTGCACCCTTCTCCGTGATTGTGAGGTACCCCAACACTCTCCCTCACTTCCAGTCCCTTCATCCTCCTTCCTCCACGGGGAAAAAAATTACTGTCCTGAAGTAATCCGATAAGGGCTAACCCACACACCGAGTAATGTATTACTTCTGCCCGGGGTATATAATGCAACACACACCCCCTTACAGTGTACAAACAGCCGGCTCACTGGTGGTGTTTTCGCAGGTGGAGAATGTTTCTTACCTTCCCGTCTGTATTCCCCGAGGTGCGGCTTTGCCTTCACATTACTGTAAATTCTCTTGTCTACAGTACATCTTCTAAACCTCACCCAATTCCACTTCTTTCCTACACTGATCATCTTGTTTTTACCCCACTGCCAGTTTTTTGGTTTGGGGGTCAGGGGTGGTGTGGGTCCCTTTCCTTCCCTTGGCTTCTAATATATTGTTTGCCTTCCTTCAAAAACATAAGTTGATTCGCTTCCTTTCAATAAACTGTTGGGTTTTCCTCTTTGTCTTGGCTGCCAGGAAACTCAGAATCAATATTTTTCTTCATTTTAATAGTTTTTCTCTAGGGGTTTTTTCTCTCCTTTCCTCTTCCTTCATGGTATAAACTGCTGCAAAATCATTTCTGAAGTAGATATAATACATAAAAATAGAATGTATCCAGTACCCCGGTTCTGTGATATTTTGGCTTCCCTGCTCTGCATCTTTGTGCATTTTCCTAGTCCCCTCTTCTCCTTGAGGCCAAATATGTTTTTCTTTGCTAGTCCCATTTTCCTTCACAAACTCCTTTCCTCATTTGTCCTGTTTATTCGTTTTCACCTGTCTGTAATTTGCATTGTCTTATGTTCTTCTGATTTTACTGTTAACCACCTACATTTTTTCCCCACTTGGGTTCCCTTCTTTCATAACACCCTTCTATCCATTTTCAATATTTGGCCCATTTTTCCACCTTTCTCTTCCATTTTGACTTTCCTCCTCTTCTCCTTCCTTCTATATGGGCTGGTTACACATTAGTTTTTCTTAAAGTGGATGATAGAAAATTATTACTTACGTTATTCATCTTTTATTGATTTACTTTGCTACCCTTAACAGTGATAAATGCAAAACTGTAGCAGTGTTTTTACAACTTTGAGATGTTTGTATGGTTTCTACCAGCTTCCACCCCAAAGGAATTCACAGATGAATCACCGGTTTACTTTATTATTCTAATTAACACATGTTCTTGCGCTGTGGGTTTCATTAGTGCTGGTATTAACCTGTGTTCAGTATACCATTAACAAACCGTGGGGAGGGTTGACTTGAACTGGTTATCCCTGGCTTGTAGGTTGTGTGTGGAAAAGTTTATTTTTTTCCTCCACTTATGTTCTAAATATTAATATTTATTTTGTATTCTTACATCTTATTTTAGCTTTTTGGGGTATCCGATAAATTTTAATAGGCTGAATAAGCTGAAAACTTGGAATTGAGGAGAAATTTAGACTTTCATGTTCAAAAATTTATTGTCCATCTCCTCGCCTGGCTAAGGTTTATAATGCCATGATGGTCATAGTTGTTACTGAGTGCCTATGGCATAATTTGTCTCAGAAGCCCCTGGCGAACTCAAGGAAGGTAGACCAGCTGTTCAGAATACTGCCTTTGGTTAGTTTTGAGATTTTGAGTAAGTTATTTCACTTCTGTGTCTCCTCTGTAATCTGGGAATTCTAACGATACCTATCTCATAGGAGAGTTGTGAGACTTAGATGAGAACCATAAGTGAAATACTTATCATAATATATTATTTTTACTGATACAAATAATAACACATGTGTTTTTTATCTGCTAACTATATATAGCTTATTAAGTGATTTGGTAAATTTCATTGGCTTTGAGCAAATATTCATTGAATGATTACTATGTAGGAGCCACTCTGACTCCATACCGGCCCGTCACATGTGTCTGGTGCATGGAAACCGCTCTGCCAGTAACTTAATGTGGGTAATGTCTACTCATGGGATAGTTATAAACATCAAATCTGATAAGAAAGCCTGTTAAAGTTCTTGATAAGAGTGTCTGATACAGAGTAGGTTCCTCAAAGTTACAGAGGTAATGCATAATAGCAATAGTAATGACAGAAGAAAATGAGAACTTCCTTGAGGACCTAGGTGTCCCCTGTGCTCAAGGTCAGCTAAGGATGTGAGTAAATCACAGCTGTTGAGCATCTGAAGCGTTGTACTTAAGTGTGTACAGATGACAGCTGGATTGCAGGAATCATGGCAAACTTTGAGGGAAGCACATCCTTGTCTGGGTGGAGAGGGGGTGTGTGGGCACACAGGTGAAGTGTGCCAGATTTTGGAGGGTTTTACGCTGTTTTACAGACCATGGACTTGGGTCTCTAAGTGGTGGGGAGCTCCCCTGGCAGCTGCCCCGACTGGGGTTAGATTAGAGGATAGTGAGACTGGAGACAGGCAGATCATGAGAAGCCTCTAGCAATGTCTATGGAGGAGAGACAAGAGTCTGGATTAAGGAAGTGGAAGTGGGAATGGAAAAGAAGCTAAAGATGAAGACATTTAAAATATTTAAGGTGGGACAGTTACTAAGTAAGTATTGGAAGTCTAGGATGACTGCTAGGTCTCTGGCACAGTCAGGGGACATATTAAGGCCATTCACCACAGGAAATTTCCACCACAGTCAGAAAGGGGACAGGTGTGGCTGCACAGGAAAGAGCAGACAGATGAATCACATGACTCTGGAAATGAGGGGAGGAGGCCTCAGGACAGGAGAACTGGGATCCTCAGCGTTGGGGTCTGTGAGATCCTCCAGGAAGAGAATAGGAGGGCCAAAGGAAGAATGTACCCCAAGGGGGTGCAGCAGAGGAAGAGAAATCAGGAAGGCAACAGGAAGGGAACGGTAAGCGAAGAAGAAGAAAGAAGCATTGTGTGAGGGAAAGCCAAGGCAAGGAAGAGTCTTAAAAATGTGGAAAAGAGTTGTGCTGCCAGTAGGTTAAACGGAAAGGGCCCTAAACAGTGCTCATTAGCTTTCCCCATTTGAGGGTGATTGGAAACCTTGGCCCGTGTGGTTTTGTGATTGGAGACCTTGGCCCATGTGGTTTTGTGATGTTGTGAAGGCGGAAGCCTAACTGAAGTGCCCTGAAGAGTGAGTGGGAGGTGAGCGAGGGGGCCCTAAATGATGTGAAAGCAACTCTGCAGTAGCTCGGTTATTGAGGGAGACCGTAGCTGTAGCTGAAGGAACAGGAAGGGACTCACAGACTTGTGTCGCTGGAGAACTGACAGGGTGCAGAGTAACAACGATGGAGAGAGACTGGCTGACATCGCAGGCCAAGAGGGCAACATGGATGGTCCCTGCGCAAGGTCCCTGAGGAAACAGGAAGTGGGGGCCCTGAGTGTGGAAAAGAAGCAGTCTGCCTCTGACACCCGAAGGAAGGGCGTTTGGACAGGTGCAGAATGCTGGCAGGGTTGATGTCTGGTCGCTTCCATGGGAAGTGGGGGAGCAGTGCACCTGCTGAGAGTGAGGACAACAGAGGGGAGGCCCCTGGAGGCTTGAGGAGAGGTTGGAGATCTGACAGCCAGGGTGGGAGCTGAAAGGCAGCTGATAAAGAACGAGGGACTGGAACAGCAGCGTGCCTGGAACAGCAGTGGGTGCAGCTAATGGTTGACATTGGAGTGGTACCAGCGTGCATTGCTTGGGGGTCCCCTCCCAGCCCACTCAGTAGCTCAAGGGCAGGAGCAGTTTTAATTCACTCAGCTGTGTTTGAGCCCCTACTGTGTACCAGGCACCGTCTTCCCCCTCCTAGTTTATGCTTCAGCTATCTTGAACTCTAGTTTCCCCAATGGGCTGTGCTCGCCTTTGCCTTTGGCATTTTGTACTTGTTGCCCTTTTGCCTGCAGTACCCTTCTTGGTCTTCTTCTCCTGCCCTTTCTTCTCCTTTGCCAGAGTCACTTAGTTACTTATGTCTTAACTTCATTGCTTTCTCCCCCAACAAGTCTTTGCCAACCTCCTAATTCCCCCTAGAACTGGCAAAAAAATGGATGCCCTGCTTATGGTCAAAGCACCCTGCTTACTTGTATTGTAATATTTATCAAACTACTTGAGATTGCTTGTGTACTTGTCTGTCTCCCAGACTGAACTGTAGATCCCTTAGGGACAGGCACCATGTCTTATTCATAATTCTATCCACTGAGCCTAGCATACTGGCTGGCACGTGCCCGGCATGCTGTAAAGATTTTTGTCTCAGATGAAGGACGAGCATGACACAGTCCCTGCCTCAACGCAGTAGTTGATTGTGAACTTGATTCAGGTTTGGGTATGTGTGTGGTAGTTCGAGTCAGAGGACGAGGAGTCAGAGACTTAAGGGTAGAGAGACATTGAAATGGCCCAGGGGATACCAAGCAGGGAAGGAAGTGAGAGGGGACAGGTAGACTCAGAGAGGAAAGGAACTGGCTAGAGATGTTGTCATCACAAGGCGAGGTTAGTGTAGGACCACAGAGGAGAATGCTAGGGTCTGAGGTTCCTAAGGTGGAACAGTTAAGCATGATGACTTGGTCCGGGGCGTGGCCATGGCAACGAGTCGCTGAAGCAGAGGAGAGATCAATTTAAAGTGTCTGGAGTTGAAAAAGAAATGTGTGTGTGCGCGCGTGAGCGCTTGGGAGTAGGAGGGGGGATTGAATGGCCATCGTTAGGCTCTGAAACTGCCCAAGATCAAGTAGGGCTTTTAAAGGTCTGAAAATGACCAAAGATCAGAAGGGAAAAGCATGATGCTGATAAAGGGCAAGAACCTCAAGGGACGTGTGAGGGGGTTGCCATGGGGATGCTTGCGTTGGGGAGCTGGGAAAATGCTGACCGGCATGGCATGCCGGGCTCCATATCCATGGCTGTGTTGAAAGGCAGACATTTACCTACTATCAGCAGGGGGGGCAATATCTTCTCACACCAGGAAATAGAGGGTGTGGGTCAGGTAAACTTCAGAGATTTAGGGGCGCCTGGGTGGCTCAGCGGGTTAGGCCTCTGCCTTCAGCTCAGGTCATGATCTCAGGGTCCCTGGATCGAGCCCCGTATCGGGCTCTCTGCTCAGCGGGGAGCCTGCTTCCCCCTCTCTCCCTGCCTGCCTCTCTGCCTGCTTGTGACCTCTCTGTCAAATAAATAAATAAAATCTTTAAAAAAAAAAAATTCAGAGATTTAGATGGAAAGTTTTAGAGGGGAAGGTAACACCTCCATGTCTAATCCTTCCCGGACGTTGTATAAGAAGTTGGAACTGTATTTAGAAAAGTGAGTGTCTTTCCTCCGTTTGTAAACAGGTTGATTGGTATGGAAGAATGAAGCCTGAAGATGCAGAATTTCCAACTTCATCAATTAGTGGAAACAACGGTCATTCAGTGGGAACACTTGCTATAGTTCAAGGCAAAGCACTAAGAGCTTTACAGTATTTTGTTTTTCCTTCTCCCTAACCATTAAGAGAAAGTAATAACATTCCCTATTTGCACATAAAGAATAAGAGGCTCAGAGAAAACTTTATCTTCCCAAAGTCACAAATTCAAAATGGCCGATTGGGGGTTCAAACCAAGCCTGTGCAGCCTCACAGCTTGTGCACTGTCTCCCCTATATGCATGAGCGATATTTGCTTTCCTGGGCTAGTGGAGGGGTGGCACAGAGAAACTCCTGCTACTAGTACAAGCCTATGTACTTCGCCCTCAGTACCAGCAGCCCGAGCAGCACTGTTGGTTCCTGAATTAATATAGAACTGGAAAGAGTATTTTGCCATCATTGTATATGCGCTAGTCACAGTTAATTATATCGGTGTGACTGATGGGATTACTGGGTTTTGTGTCCTCATGCTGATGTGTTGGTCATTATAGAGTTGAAGGCAGTATGGAGCTAATATGGATCTACCTGTTGTCTCTTCTGTTTATTTTTGGGGAAAGGCATGTTGACGTATCACTGGTTCATGGCTTTCTACATACCAAGGGCCAGTCTCCTTATGGCAGTGATTGTTACCTTTTTATTTATTTTTATTTTTTATTTTTTAAAGATTTTATTTATTTATTTGACAGAGATCACAAGTAGGCAGAGAGGCAGGCAGAGAGAGAGAGAGGGGGTGGGAACCAGGCTCCCCGATGAGCAGAGAGCCTGATGTGGGGGTTGATCCCAGGACCCTGGGATCATGACCTGAGCCCAAGGCAGAGGCTTTAACCCACTGAGCCACCCAGGCGCCCCGATTATTACCTTTTTAATAAATCTTGTAAATTGTATGAATCCAGTAAAATTAGCTAATAGGAAGCAAACAGAGAACCTGTTTTCTTTTTTGTTTTTCTTTCCCCCCCCGCACTAAGAATACCAGATTTAGCAAAGTAATTGCCTTAATTTGGATGCAACAATCCTTTCGGGTAGAGGCCGGCAGTCTAGGATAGTGGTTAGAATTGCCCCGGAGTCCGACAGAATCGTTTGTATTATACCACTAGCTATGTGGTTTCAGGCAAGTTAACCTCTGTAAGCCTTAGTTTCTTCATCTGTCAAATGGAACTAAGAGTGCCTGCATTCAGATTGTCAGGAGGATTCAATGAATTGATCGTTAAGAGCTCTTCTCTGGACCAGAGAAGCACTCAATCAGTGTAGCTCTCACCATAATGGTGATGTTTCCATTGCTGTTGTATGTCACTTTGAATACCTAATGCAAGTGACCACCTGACAATTTAGTGGCAATAACAACCCCGATTTGATATTTGATTATATGTCCTATGTCCTATGTCCTAGTCTTCAACATGGAATTTTCTTTAGGGCTGATAAATTCTGGAAGGGTCAGTTCCTGAATATGTAATATACTAAATGCTGGCTATGAGGGGGTTTCTTTTTCTTTCTCTCCTTCCTTTTTTCTTTCTTTCTTTCTTTCTTTCTTTCTTTCTTTCTTTCTTTCTTTCTTTTTTTTAGATTTATGTGTTCATTTGAGAGAGAGCTGGAGTGAGCAAGAGCAAGGGGCGGGGCAAAGGGAGAGAGAGAGAAAGAGAGCCTCAAGCAGACTCCCCATCGAGTGCAGAGCCTGATGTGGGGCTCCATCTCATGACCCTGAGATGATGAGATGATGACCTGAGCCTAAATCAAGAGTCAACGCTTAACCAGCTGAGCCACCCAGGCACTGTTTCTTTTCTAATGGAAGTCCTTTGTCCACCTGTTTTTTTGTTTTTGTTTTTGTTTTTGCTTTTTTGCAGGAGAAATTTGATGGGGTCCTGAGAGAGGAGGTCGTGGCCAATGCCCTTCACCAGTTGGGGCGCTCGGGCTCTGGGACTGAGCAGGTCTATCTCAATCTAGCTTTACCAGTGAGTATGACAAGATCACCATGGGCTGACTAGGCTACATCTTAATACTGGTTGGATCATATCTATTTTTTCTGGTATTCATAGTTTTTGTGGTGGGCCTAGATCTCAGTCTTTCATTTGATGGACACTGGTGATAAGAGTTATTTGTGTTATGTGAGGCATCAAAGCGCTCTGGGTAGTCCAATAATCAGCCCCTGAATTCCTTTGTTTTCATTCCCATCAGTCTGTTTCTTTCATCTTAAGTAGTTTGTATTATAGTAATCAATGCTTTCTTTCTAGAAGTTGAATTTGACTCTGTGAAACCAATAAAAAACTCTTTAAGAATTTTCTCTCTGATCAGTGCCAGAACTAAAATTAATATCTAAATCCAAGGGAACAAAGTATTTTGGTATTGACTGCCCCCCCCAAGTATGTCAAGAAATAAGTGCTTTGAGCCACAGCTCACTTTCCAAAAGATACCCATTATTAAAGACAAAAATGTGTTATTCATCAATTTTCAAGATATCAATACTAACACATAATCTTGGCTTCACTTTTTAAGGAAAGCTTTAATAGCAAGGTACTCATAGTATTTCAGATTCTTTTTTCCTTTTGTTTCTCTATAGCCCTAGAAAAATAATTTAACTCTTTTTGCTTCCTTATATTATGAAGTATTAAATATTCCTTGGAGAGCCACACAGTAAAGTCAGATACGTAGGTGAAAAAAAAGCACACTAAAATTTTGCTACTGTGCTATAATATGGCTGAAGTATGTATAATGAGCATATACAACTTATAATCTTGGTCTCTCTTGGATTTGAACTAGTAAACTATCCAAGAAATATTAAGCTCTTTTCACCCATGCTGGTTCTGTGGCATATTCTTTGAGGACAGCATATTGAGGCTGTAACCTTTTACCATTTTTTTTTTTTTAAAGATTTTATTTATTTGACAGAGAGAAATCACAAGTAGGCAGAGAGGCAGGCAGAGAGAGAGGAGGAAGCAGGCTCCCCGCGGAGCAGAGAGCCCGATGCGGGGCTCGATCCCAGGACCCTGAGATCATGACCTGAGCCGAAGGCAGAGGCTTTAACCCACTGAGCCACCCAGGCGCCCCACCTTTTACCATTTTTACGTTACAACATGTTCTGGATGACTCGGCCAGTTAAGCGGTAACTCACAGGGAACCTCTGTGAGCACTGCCCTATGTTAGGCACTGGAATGGTAGATAATTCCAGCACCCAATACATCCCTACACAAGTCCATTTCAATCAATATTCTACTCCTGTATGTAGTGCTATGCCTTAAATTGATCTGCAAAAAGAAAAAAAGCAATCCTTTAAATCTTATTTCAGCTTGATGGACTAACGCTTACCTTACCTTGCCCCTGACCTCCTTACATTTGAGATATATCATATTGAATTACTTTGCCTTTATAACCTGTCTTACTACATACGCTTTCTTACAGTTGCCTGATTTGGTGATTTCATCCCCTTATATCTAACGTTACACGTTCTTTTTTACTTTTTCTTATTACTTATATGCATAGCCTCTCTCCTGCCAAAGTCCTAAGTTTCTTAAGGGCACAGTTCAGCTCTGCCCCATCATTGCACTGTGTTTCTCATCAGGCACAATGCCTTGTGCATGGTAGGTTTTCTTTCATATTTATTACACTATTCTTGTGGCCTTCATTAAACATTTTATCAGTGTGTTTGAGAACGTGCTTATGATACTTCATTGGTTGACTTTTTCTGATTTGGACATTGTAACATAAACCAGCAATAAGAGTCTGTTCCAAGGGATCAAATTCTCTTCCCCCATCCTGAAGTTCTCCAGAAGCACAATTTCATGGAAGGAATCTTGGAAAAGGATTAGGAGACTTGGATCTGCTTCTCTGTTGCTAATTTGCTGTGTGATTTTAGGTTATTCACAATCCCTCTTTGTCCCTCCTATTCCTCATCGCCAAATTGGGACTAGTCTGCCTTATGGATCTCAGTTTTACTTGGTCAGATGAGATTACTGTGAGGGAGCTTTGAACAGGACCTTGTGAAAATGTAGGTAACAGTGTTATTAACGATCTGGTGATACGTGATCTCTTTAGCATTTCATTTAAATTCTAGGCATCTGCCTTTTCTTCTGCAAGAGAAAAGACTTGGCCTTGCTGCTATTATGTGGGGTTTTCTTTTTCTTCTCCTTTTTAAAAAAATAGTAAAACTCTAAAGGTCTACCCAACACTGCTTTAATTTGCCTTTTCATGTTGTATTTGTTGTTGTTAATATCACTAATTTTCCAAGCTATTTTCTTCTTCAGAGGAATGCATTTTTTAAATGGGTTTGTCATCTGCTTTGAGATCCTGTTAGTAGGAGACCTCAGATGTAGTCTCTCATTTAACTACTGTGCTTCTACTATAAGTAAGTATATCTTTCCTATACTTCTACTTTTAGTATAAGTGTACTATCATTACTATACTTACAGAAATTCTGGATCTCTGTCTGCTCTTACTTCCAGGTGTCAGGAGATGGCAGAGTACTAACCTGTTAAAGCAGCATTAAAGTCTTTTTACCTTTTATCTTCTCAGGGTTGTGATTTAATTGACATTAGCATTCTCTGTGAATATGTTCACCTACAGAAGTTGGATCTTTCAGTAAATAAAATTGAAGGTATGTAATTTTCGTTCTAGTAGATTGATGGATCATTCAGTTATTTCAAAATTAAAGCTGTGCAGTATGTCATAGGGGTTAATACTACAAAACTTGGTGTCAGTGCTACTATCGATCCCTTTACATATCGAAGCTCTACTTTGTGTATAAAAAAGGCACCATGGGTGATGAGTAAAGTCAGCCGACATGCAACATTGTCTGTGGTTCGAATAGTTCAATGGTGTTGAAGCGTATCCCATGACATGTTTGCTTTGTTTTTTTCCTTTAAGAGACAGCTTATTACTTCTTTAATACTTCCCGAATATTTGATGATTCCCTTGTCTTTCCCCCTATTAGTTTATTCAGTACAGATGAATTAGTCCTTCTCCCCCTCCCACCTTTTTTTCTTTTAACAGATTCTTTTTTTAATTTTGTTTTTGCATCTACATTTTAATTCTGGCCAGCTACTTCTTTTCTTCTTACTTGAGTGCCAGAGATTCCACACATTTATTTTTTCCTTTTTTCTTTTTCTTTTTCTTTTTTTTTTTTTTACTGTCTCTTTACATGTAGCTGGTTCTTCCACTGCACTATTTGTGGTTCTCCATAATGTATTTGTTGTGAAATCTTGCTCACATTTAATGCAATTAGTCACATTTTCTTCAAACCTTGATTCTTGTTTTCTGATCTTATTTGAAGTTAAAGTGTCCAATTTCTTTCCATTAGACTTGGAGGGAACTCAGCAGTTGTTGTTTTCGACCTGCTTTTTTGCTGGTCATCTTTCCACTGGCGGCTTTAGCCTGTCTTTTTCATGACGGTTAAATGTTGCTGATATGGTTTTCTCTGGCCCCTTTCTGAATTCCTCCCCTCTTGGAGAGCAGTAATTAAAATCCAGCCGTGCTCTTCAGTGGCTAAGAACCAGTCCAACATCATTTTTTCCTCCAATGCTACTGTTTGTGAGGTTTTTTTTTCCTAGTTTTAGAAATCTTTTTTTCAATGGAAAATTACAAACATGTGCACAAGGGACTATTGTAATGAACATTCAGGTTCAACATTTAACAGCCTGTGGCCCATCTAGTTTCACCTATACCTCCCTGACCGCCTCCCCCAGGGTTATTTTAAAGATTTAGAGCAAGCCCAAGCACGGGGAGGGGAGAGGCAGAGGGAGAAGCAGACTCCCCACTGAGCAGGGAGATCAATCCCTGGAACCGGGAGATCATGACCTAAGCCCCTAAGCTGAAGGCAGACTCTTCACTGAGTGAGTGAGGTAGGTGCCCCCGCTAGGGTTATTTTTAATCAAATCCCAGATATCCTGTCATCAGGAAGTGGTTTTCAGTGTCATTGCGGGAGCCACCCTGCCCACCACCACTCCCAGGTTTGCTTCTATCCCTGGGTAAGGAATTGCAGTGTGATGGGAGATGGCAGCAATGCCCAGTGGTGGCCTCATACCCCTCAGCTTGAGCTGGGACTCCCCAGTTGCGAAGGGAGCTTTTCTCAGATCAGTCGTCTTTAATCTTTAAGGGCATACAGTGTTTGAGAACCTACTATGTGTAAGGCACAGTATATTATCTTTTTTTTTTTTTTTTAATTCATGTTCTGATGTAGACCAGATTTTCACTTGAATCAGAATCATCTGGCAGTGGCGGGGGTGGTGGGGTGCTGGGGGGGGGTGTTAAAACACAGCAAGCTGGGCCCCGCCCTCAGTTTGATTCTGCAGCTCTGGGGTGGGACTTGAGAATTTCCATTTCTAATTTGTTCCCCTGGGAAGCCGGATGTGCCCGACCCAGGACCACGGTTTGAGAACCATCCTTGTAGACGCGAGGAGCTCCTGCCATCTGGTGGACACGGAGGTCACTGCACCAAGTAGGGATTAACGGGCCGGTCAGAGCTCGAGGGCCAACAATCAGACCATGCATTTTTCCCTCTGTCCGAGTGATTTGAAAGGATTGGTCATCAACAGAATTGGGATGTACTCACCATTTCCGTAGCTCCCTTTCAGTGGTAGTGGCTGCTTCTGCTTCAGGACAGCTCCATGGTCCAGCACTTACCTGCCCACAGAAAGATCAGCTCCAAGGAGGCATGGGGTCCGCTGGATGGTAATAGAGTTGACGGAGAGAAATGGAGCTGAGCTCAGGAAGGACAAATAGGCAAGACTTGTAAAGTCATGACAGTTTCACCTTAAGATTCCTTTTCCAGGCAGCCTTCCTTGATTCACTCATTAAGTCCCACCAATTAAGTCTCAGTGTATTGTCCATCCTAGAATAATTCCATAAAGACAGGCTAAAGAAGGGTGTGATTTAGACTAGAGAAATGATGTAGAATTTGGCAGGATCTCGAGAAGGAAAGATGTTTGAGGGGGAGGTGGGCCGAGGGGTGTGCTCATGGTGCCTTCTCCACCTACTCCAGGGAAGGCCCCAGCTGCTCCACTAGAGGCCTTCCTGGGCGTGGGGAGGCACATAATAGTTGTTTCTGTGACCTAGAATGGAAAGAGAGGGAAAGCTGTTATGATTACTGTTTTCTGGTGGGAGACCAGAGTTCCTGCTGGAGACAGGGCTATAAATCCTCTTCCTGAGTCTTTGTCTAATTTATCCTACTGCTTCGAAATGTGCCTCTGCTGTAGATGGGCAGAGAAGGGCAACACAGAACTTCACCATTTTTATGTTTTATATGTTACTGTCATTAGAGCAGAGCTGTCCTTTACTTAGTGTTCGAGGTTTAGAATATTTGCTTGGGATAAAGAGCAAAACTCGGACATACTTCTGAACCAATCCAGAGACAAAGTAAAATAACAGCAATAATTTAAATCACTTCAAATAATTAATGAGATTTAGGGCTAAGTCCAACTAAAACAAAATTTAATTTATAACAAAGAAACTTCTCTAATTGTGGCATTTTCAGTCTTTGTGAAAAGACTTAATATAGTCACTTAGGGGCTAATTATTAAGGGGATTATCTATGGCTTTAGTTTCTCGTCCTTTCCTCTAAGGCTGGTTTTTTTTTTTTTTTTTTTTTTTAAAGATTTTATTTATTTATTTGACAGAGAGACACAGCTAGAGAGGAACACAAGCAGGGGGAGTGGGAGAGGTTGAGAAGCAGGCTTCCCGCAGACAGGGAGCTTGATACGGGGCTCAATCCCAGGACTCTGGGATCATGACCTGAGCCGAAGGCAGAGGCTTTAACCCACTGAACCACCCAGTTGCCCCGAGGCTGGCATTTTTTAAGAATTTGGCTGTTAGTAGCTCATGGGAGAGTGAGCTGGGACCTGGAGGGTGTACCAGTAGCTAGAAAAGTGTTGAGGAGGAAGGGAGGTCCTGGGGAAGAAGGTGAAGGTAGGAGCTCGTGGAGAGTTCTCCACACTGCCTGTGTTTCATGCATTCCTATTTTTATTCATTTCACGTGCTTGGAATAATTAAGAAGTGCTTGCAACTGGCATAAGGAGAAAAATGCTGTGATGTAACATAAGCTGTTTTTAATGACTTAGTCTAATTTTGATTTTATTGGCTTACCTTATTTCTGTATTTGTTTCTCCCCCCAGATCTGTCTTGTGTGAGTTGTATGCCTTACCTTCTAGAACTTAATGCTTCTCACAATAAATTGACGACATTCTTCAATTTCAAGCCACCCAAAAATCTCAAGGTAGACTTGATCATCACATTCATTCATTAAGTGGTCTGCAAAGTACATTAACACGCAAACCAGTGCTCAAATAGGGAATTCAGACGGCCCGAGATACGGGAGTAAGTAGTGTAAGTGTCTGAAATGAAATAAGAAGGGATTTGGGTATCATTTATGAGAAAGGAAGGCGGTCTGTCTGCAGATAATCTTAGGAAACTTTGCTAATAGTGTTCAGGCTGAAGAACTACCTTCTCTCTCTCACAGCTAAATACGTTACTTTTTTTTTTTTCCCCCCGACAATGATTTCTGATCTTGCTTCTCTGAAGTTGCTTTTGCATCTGACACAGAGCCAAACTGTGTGAACGGGAGTCGATGGAGCAGCTGGCTCTGGGCCGTGTCTTGTGGGTTTTTTTTTTTTTTTTTTTAAGATTTTATTTATTTATTTGACAGAGATCACAAGTAGGCAGAGAGGCAGGCAGAGAGAGAGAGAGGAGGAAGCAGGCTCCCTGATGAGCAGAGAGCCCGATGTGGGACTCGATCCCAGGACCCAGGGATCATGACCTGAGCCGAAGGCAGAGGCTTTAACCCACTGAGCCACCCAGGCGCCCCCGTGTCTCATCCTTTAATGTGCGTACAGTCACCTGGGGTTGTTGCGGTAAACCAGGGATTCTGACCCCGGAGGTTCTGAAGTCAGGCCTGAGACTGTGGTTTCTTTTCTTTTCTTTTTTTAAGATTTTATTTATTTATTTGACAGAGAGAGGGAGATCACAAGCAGGCAGAGAGGCAGGCAGAGAGTAAGGGGGAAGCAGGCTCCCTGCTGAGCAGAGAGCCTGACTCGGGGCTCCATCCCAGGACTCTGGGATCATGACCGGAGCCGAAGGCAGCGGCTTAACCCACTGTGCCACCCAGGCGCCCCGAGACTGTGGTTTCTAACAGCCTTCCAAGGGATGCCACTGCTGGTGGTCCGTGGGCCACACTGAAGCAGACAGGTTAGAGATTCGTGGTTCCCAGACTCTTCTGCACGTTTCAGTCACGTGGGGACTTTGAAACACACCTGGATCTTCCTGCCAGAGAGTCTGATTCAAGAGGCCCAAGGTAAGGCCCGGGTGTGGAATTTTTTTAAAGGACCCCCCAGGTGGCTCTAATGTGCTGATGGATCTGAGAGCCGTCGAGTAGACAAATGTATTTCATTAAATATTTTTAGGATTGGACGTCAGTTGTTGCTTTTTATTATCTATTTTGTTTTATTTACAAACCAAATGAACTCAGATCCCAAGTAGTAGGGTTTGCACAAATAGGAAAATTGGTTTGAAATCAAAATCTGACATCACCCATACTGCTAGTGAGACGCTCTTTTAATTTTTCTTATGTTTACCCCGGTTTTTTTCTCAGTACTGGGGTAAAATTTTTTCTCCTTTGAAATTATACTTATTGCAAGGTGACATTCTTTTGTCCAAATAAGCCATACGAGGTGCCTATTTGTACTCAGCATGGGGCCCCGTGATCTCCAGGTGATCGGGAATTGTACTCTCCCATTCTGCTTTGTCCTAAGCCCCAGGGAAATGAGTCAAGGCAACCTTGTGAACCCTTCTCCTGGGAAAAACTTCCTTGGAATTTCTTCCATTCACCCTCCCCACCCTCTCCCCCAAGAAGGCTTCACCAATGAACAAAAACAATGCAGAAACCCTGTCTTTGAGGTTCTGAGCTCCCAGAGAGTTAAGAGCAAATCTATCGGTCCCTGTAGAGAAGTGCCTGCCAAGAGCCAGACTGCCCCGGGTGACGCGCTCCAAGCCCTTGTGAACTCTGCATCAGCCTGGGGGCCATGACCCAGGCCTGCTGGTGTTTTCAGGGCATTATCCTTAAGCAGTCCTCCCCGTAAAGCTGTGAGGCAGCTGGGATGGTCCCATTTCACAGATGAGGACTCCAGAGTAGAGAACGGGCAAATCACATATGTCATCTTTGCTGGGAGGTAGTAGGGTTGGGTTGGAACCCAAAGTCTGCCACCCAAAGCCCGTGTCTACCCAGGAAACCAGGCTTGTGTACCCTGTCCCACCCTCTCAGAAAGCTCTGCATCCTGTTCACTTATTATCTGTGAGCCTTGGGCCACCAGCCAGAGAAGGCTCACGTTTCCTGAACACAGGGGCCTGTTCTTACACATGCTCTGTATTTCCCAGAATGCTTTGCTCTTAGTAGATCCAGTAGGTTCATTTGGTGGCTGCGACTCCCTGCACGCCTCCGGGCCCAGTGGAACTCCTAGGGGGAGTCAGAGCACCCATCAGAAACCCTTTCCAGCCTCTCAGCACATCTGGTAACACAGGTGCCAGAGGGCACAGTATGGGCGTGTGGCCCAGAGAGGGCTAGAGTTAGAGAGGAGCAGACACGACTGTGGCACAAGAACAGAAGGTATTAATGGAAAAAGTGTCAATTATAAGTAAGCCTCGATCACTGGGTTGACTCCCGGTCCATCACGATTACGTGGAAGACCAAAGTGAATATGAAACTTCATTCGGTCACATCAGACTGAATGCTTTAGGTCAGCCGTGCTCTGTGTTTGACATAGTTGCAGTTTATATCGGCGTCAATCTTTGTGTTCCAATTGTTTGGGGTTTTTTGAACTAATAGTATTGTGTTTGCAGATTACTGTTTCTTCACATGGTTCACACACTTGCGTTTTACTGACAATGTGGTCCTGTTGCTAACTTGTAATCAACTTAATCTGTTTTCTTCTCTTGGCACTTGAGTTTTCAACATGTTTTTTAATATTTAAAGTTTTTAGTATTTAATACATTGATAAAGTATTCTTTGTACAGGGGGACCCTGTTTTAAAGAGCACTAGTGCTCATTAGAACATTGTTTCATAGTTTTCCAGAGAATTATTACATGTGCTCAGCAAGTTATCACTGTAGCATTTTTAAAAAGTTTTTTTTAAACCTTTTTGTTCATCTTTTGCTCATGGGTGAATATTAAAAGTTACTTAATGTTGTTTTTCTTTAGTCTCCTATTTTGGAGAAAGAACAACTCATGTTGCTGAAAAGGCTTTCCTAAAATAGTCCGTTTTGAGAAAGGGTGTTAAGTGGATGAGATGTAGCCTGAGGGATGAATAAGAAAGATTTTTCTGGCACTTGAGAAGTGACTCAGGAGAATATATTGAGAGAGGAGAAAAGGCAGAGAAAAGATGAACACGTGAGCTAAGTGAATGCCACTCGTGGGGCAGTAGAGAAAATGAAGGAAATGGTGGTAAAAGCGGAATTGTGGTGAATTCTGTGGGAAGATGAAGAAAGCCTGAAGTGATTGCCGGAAATGGAGAGAGGAACAGCAGGAATGGAAAGTGTTTGGGGGTGGGGGTGTCCCCACCGCGGCCAGGGCGGGGGACTCCTTCCCCCTGTCCCTCAGACTGAACAGACAAGGGTCCGGACAGAACATGATTAGATATGGGTGGCTGTGTTAGCCTTGGCATATTTTCAGTAATGGATTCTAACCCCACGGCCAGAAAGATCTTCTTATGCCAGAAATTATTGTGGTGAAGCAGACGAGAAATAAACTTTGACCTATTGTTCTCTTTTTCTCATCAGAATGTGGATTTTTCCTACAATCAAATTTCTGAAATGCGTGATTTGTCAGAATACCAGACTCTCACTAAACTAATTTTGGACAGTATCCTTTGAATGAATAAAGGGGAAATTTGGGTAATAGGCCTGCTAATAACTGTGTTCTTGGATGACTTGGAGTGGTACCAGATAAGCAATTTACTGGAGATGTGTGACTCATTTGAATGATTAAGAATTGATATTCACAAAATGAAGAAACATGTTTTATTTACCAAGGAGCAAGATCGTAAGTCAGAGCTTCCCAAGAGCGTCCTCCACCTGAAAAAGCTACATAAGACAGTCATTTTCTGATAAACATAGGCTTATTTTTAATTGACTCTTGAAATTTACTTGTGTCCTGCTTTATATAATAAGGTCAGTATCTGGAAATTCAGATATGACCAAAAGGAAAATAAGTGGGTTTTTGTTTGTTTGTTTGTTTGTTTTTATTTCCCAAAGAATTCATAGTAATTGCCCTTTAAATAGCAAGTTTCTCTTGTGTATTTATTTATTTATTTATTCCTCTGGCGTATTTAAAATATACTTTGTTTTTTAAAAAAAAAGCAAAACCAACCTCTTTTGATGAGCAGCCAACTTCAGGAACATATACACTACATGAGTCAGGTTCCCATGGAGAACCATCTACCTTGAAGTATGCACACACCAGCTTCAAGATCCTAAAGGGTTAATTGGGAATCTGTGAGTTTAATGAGCTGGAGTCTCTTGACACCAGAGACTGATGTTTTCTGGGTGCTAAGGGAGCAGTGTCTTCTCTTTCTCAGTATCTCTCTGCCCACCTGAGGATTTTTCCGGGTAGAGTGGGGAATGAATTGATTGCCCTTGGGTGCCTCATTCCAGAGACAGGGCATCAGTTAAAACACTACACTTGTAATGAGACTGAACATGTGGGGAGAACAGAAGGTATATCGTCTTGAGCGTGTATTTTATTGGGGAAAAGCGTTTTTCATATATGATGGGAAACTTCGAACATAGCGCCATGTTCTTTAGAACTGGTATGTGGAATGTGCCATTATTGGGCATTTAACTGGTGCTCTTGAAACGAGCAAGTTCTCCTAAATGTATCCTAATGAGAAAATGATCAAAATGAAAAGCTCTGAGGGCAAACTAAAAGTAGTACACGTTGGCAGCCCCTGTCTGTAGAACTTCTCACTTGATGCTTGACATCATACATACTGAATTTGCAAGGAGGTAGAGGCTGACCACCCAGAAGCCACCTGACTCAGAAATCCACTCAGACCACCTAGAAGAACACTGCTCAGGGAAGATTAATTATGTCAGCAACACCATTGCCTGGAATTTCTTAGAAATGCAGGCTCTGGGACTCTACCCCAGGCCCCTGGCATGAGAACCTGCATTTTTAACAAGACCCCTGGGTGATGGGAAATACACAGTAAAGCTTGAGAAGCACTGGTCTAGAAGTCAGCCATGCCGGAGACTCCTACCAGCCAGAAAGGAGGAGGGAGCATCCAGAGCTCCAGCTTAGGGCACCCTGAATGAGGGCGGTCACGTGGCAATCTGGGCTCTGCCTCCCAGAAAAATACTCTTCTGTGTATAGCATGGAACTGCCAGAGAAAACAACTCCACAGGATTTTGGACTCTAAACAGAGGGTGCGGTTTAAAACACGTCTATCATGGAAGACTTAAGTTCTACATAAATTTATTTTTCCGTGTGAAAAACTGTTACGACTTGTAAATGTCAAACACCATGAAGAAAACTAGGATTTTTGTTGTTTTTTTTTAACCTGACTTTAGATGTAGCAATTCAGTCTTCTCTCCAAAGTATAAAAAGCTGTCCTTATTACAGCAGAACCAATTGAAATTTAGAACATGGACACATAATTAAAATGTAAAATGGCAGCATTCCTCACCTGTGGTCTTTAAAATACAAACACAAGGAGGCAAAACAAGCTACCCTTCATAAACTCTTAATGAAACAAATTCTTAGCTTACTGTTTTGAATAGATAGTAGGCTCGTTTTTAAACAGTACTGAATATGCCTCTTGTTCTGTTTTAGAGTGTCATACATACTGCATATAATTATGTTATTAGATTAGATTTTTGAAAAGACTGAAAAGCTTTGCATAACAATTTTTAAACAACATTTTTATGCCAGTACATTTGAAAACCTAAATGAAATGGATAAATTCTTAGAAAAATGTGCTGATTTGGAAATAGAAACCCTGAGTAGTCCTGTATTTATAAATGCAATTCATATAAAGTAAATTAAAATGCTCATATAAAAAAACTCCCACCAGATCCAAATTTTTTTAATTTTTTTTAATTGAGGTTCTTTTTTTTTTTTTTTAAGATTTTATTTATTTGACAGACATCACAAGTAGGCAGAGAGGCAGACAGAGAGAGAGGAGGAAGCAGGCTCACCACTGAGCAGAGAGCCCGTCGCGGGGCTCGATCCCAGGACTCTGGGATCATGACTCGAGCGAAGGCAGAGGCTTTAACCCACTAAGCCACCCAGGTGCCCCCAGATCCAAACTTTTAAGAACAGGTCTTCTAATAATGAACAAAATCTTTCAAAGATTGAGAATAGAAGGCATATTCACAATCCATGCTAATGAGGTTACTTTGATATCCAAAAGCAGATAAGGAATGATAAGAGAAAGGAAAATGACAGACTCCTTTCACCCATGATCTAGATATAAAAATCCTAACTGTATATTGGCAAACTGAATCTGACAGTGTTTGAAAAAGTTAATACCATGACCAAGTTTGGTTTATCTCATGAATATTAGGATAGCTTAATATTAGAAGGTCAGTAAATGTCATTAACTATGTTAACCGATTAAGAGAAATAAACCATATGATCAGTAGGTTTAGAAACTCAATAGATAAAATTTTATAAAATCTAATTTACAATAAAAACTATTAGTAAACTAGTTATAGGGAATTTCCTCAACTTGAAAAGGTCTATAAAAATATTTGAAGCAGACTTTGTCCTAACTGGGGACATGTTCTAAAGGTTCTTTAAAATTGGAAACAAGACAAAGATCTCTACCATTGCCCCTTCTTCCATCACTGTTTTGGTGGTTTTAGCCAGCACTGTAAAAACCAGAGGAAAAAAACCTGGAAGTATAAAAATTGAAATGAGAAGATAAAAAGACTTTTTTTTTGTTGTTGCAAATGATATGATTGTCCATAGGGAATATCAAAAATAACTTGCAATGAACTACTAGAAATGATAGTTTTGAAAGCTCAACAAAGTAGTTGAATATGACTTCAATAAAAGGAAATCAATTGCATTTTTCTACATCACAAACAAGCAATTAGAAAGCACAACTTAAAACAGAGACCCCATTTACAAGAGCAATAAAAATGAATCTTATTAACAATAAGACCTGTGGGAGGAATCTAATAAAACTTTATCGAAGAGCAGTAAAGCCCTAACTAAAGAGAAATATATTCCATGTTCCCAGATAGGAAGATGGGAGAAGATGTATAAAAAGTGTTTTACAGAAAATGAATCCGATAAGTCTAGTAACATGACTAGATGTCAGCCTCATTTGTATTCAGAGAAATGCAGCCCAAGACCACATGAGATACTTATGTTACATCCATTCAAGTGACAACATTTAAGAAATCTAAAAATACCAAGTGTTGGAGAACATGTAAGTCAAGAGGATCTCTCTCTTTTTTTTTTTTTCCTTCCTTTGGGTATGAAATTAGTTCAACCACTTTGGAGAGCAATTTTATGCTCTTTTATAAAGTTGAACATCAAAATTCCCAGCACTTTCATTCCTACATATGGGAAGTTTAGCAGCGTGTTTCTGGAGGCTTGTATAAGAATGCTCATAGCAACACTGCTTGTCAGAGCAAAAAGTTGAAATAGCCCATACGCTCATTGATAAGAGAAAGCACAACTTATGTTATACTCATAATAACCTATCCTACGGTAGTGAAAATGAATGAAATGTATCTCCATGGAGCGGTAGGGATGCATCTTAATAAAACTAAATATAATTTTAGTATCAAACCAAAGGGGAAAAGGAGGAGGAAGTAGACAATTCAGCATGGTGGCCATCTCTGAGAGGGAGGCGTTGGATGCAACAGGAGGGGCGTTTGGAGGATGTCAGATACTGTTCGTGTTCTTCTTGGGCTGAAGGTGGGGTCCATTTCCAGAGTGTTCACTAGATTTTTAAAAATGAATATACACAGGCTGTGTATGGGCAAATGCTGTACCTATGTCTATTAAAAATGTTTTAAATCTGAAAATTATTATTTTCTTTGAAAATAGTTATTTACCAAGCTTCAAACTTGAGCTGTAAGAGAATCCCCGGGAGGGTTTGTTAAAAAACTTGCTGGCCTCCATCCTCAGAACTTCTGGTGGGGTAGGTCTGGGGTGGTACCTGAGAATTTGCATTTTTACAAGCTTCCAGATGGTGCCGATATTGCCCGTCTGAGGAGTGTACTTGAAGATCCCCAGCTTTAAGCTAGCCAGTCCTCTGTCGTACCTCGCAGGGCACGCTTTCCTAATCTGATGCCATTCCGTGTGTCCTTTTTAGGGGTTTGGTGGCTATCATTTTTGTGCTTTTTATGTTCAAGCTTTCCTTAGTGGATGAATACGTCTTTTCTATTTGAGGGGAACATGTGCACTTTTGTTTAAAATATAATTCAACAAAATTGTAATTAGCAGCGTTAAAGAGCACTTCTTTAAAAGAAATCCAAGTCCGTTAATTGATCTGGTTAATGCTGACATTGTGATTGTAGATTAAATTAGTGCCTCAAAGTGGACTGGTTTAAGAAATCAAGTTTTTGGTTTATCTTATGCTATTTTGTCGTTCCATTTGTGGCTAACTGATGATTAATTGATAATCATCCTAAATCACAAGCTGATAAACTTTATCAAGGATAAATCAAGAAAGAATATTCTTAAGAAAGAATGCTGTGTATTCTTTACCAGTAAGTATCGACAGATTGATTATTCTTTAGAATTTGTTAGATGATTATAGAACCATGGAGCTTTTAAAAAGTGATTCACAGAATTTTAAAATCCAGACCGGACTTTAGAGATGATCTACTACTAACTGTTCTTTTATGAAAGAGGAGCCTAAGACCCAGGGAGGCTCACTTACTGTCCAGGATCATTTGGTCAGTGGTTGCACCGAGATCTGTCCTCTAAATTCCAGTTTTCCCCATGGTGCAATTCATTGAGTCATAACTACTTTTATCACCTAGCCATTTAAAGTGTATGTGTGTTTCATTTTTTAGAGATTCACTCCTATAGTGAAGAACATTTTTCACTGGTAAGGTGATATAGATCTTTCAGGATTGGTTTTGATTAAAGCTATCATTGCGGTTCTCCCTACTAAGAGAATTGTGATGGATTTCCTACTTATTTCTCAGTAACTGTTTTTTCTACACCCGAACCATATTTTATGATTGTAGACAAACAAATAAGAGCGAATACGGAACTAGTGAATAATTCATGTCAAGCTCTGCAAACTGCTGACAGCATCACCAAGATGTAAAACTACATTGTGGGGCTCTTTCCTCGCTGTAAAGTTACGCTTATGTGCCTTTGGGTTCCGTCCCTCAGTTTCTGAGGACCTAAAGTTCCACCGTAAAAGATTTATTCACTGAAATGTAAAACTTTAGAGCTAGAATGCGGTATGATGATTTTGAGTTCTTTGAGTCTCCTTCTTCTGGTAGCCAGCGGCCTTTGAAAATTAAAATGTACTTAAGAGGGTTAACCCAGTAAGCTAATTCATTGTAATGGCTTAGTGACTTACCAGATTATATTTCTTCTTGTTGGAAAGTCCCAAGACCTATATGAAAGAATGCAAAAGAATAATGTTCAGAGGAAGGACAAGTAACATTTCATGCACGTTCTTAAAATAAGAAGATGAGAGATGAGGGAGATAAAGGTATTCCCGAAAGCGAGCTGTAAACTAAGAAATCTGTACGGACCACTCCTGCACACCGACCTTTATCATTACTCGTGGTCACAGATGATGTGACCTTGAGAGTGTGGAGGTGGGGGGTGGAGGTGGGGTGTTGGGCCATTGTAAAAAGTACTCTTCAGTCAAGAATGTGATTAATTTATAGAGACTGAAATTCCTTGACGTTTAAAGGGGAGTGAAGAGTTGGGAAATAGACAATTTTTCTGAAATGCGCTTATTTCTCAGCAGAGCTGTGCAGTCAGTTCCTCAAGCCTTTGCAACTTGAGGAACTTTGCAGCTTTGCCCCCCAGCTGCAGTGAGGCACCTGTATTCCTCTTCCCTTGGCCCTTGCGAGGCGAATTTCATAAAACCTGACTTGCTGTACTAGTCAAAGCTGGAGAGTGAAGCAGATGTACCGAGAGAACTGGGGTTAGCCTCGGATGTCTTGGAAAATTACTGCATACACAATAAACAAGCTTGCCTTGTCAATTCCCACTAGCTCTTGACAGTTTCAGAATTCCCAAGTCCTTGTTTTCTGATCCTTGCCCCCTTCCCATGGGAAGGCTTCCTGACTCAGTGCCCACAAGCATTTGTTTTACTCTTCCCCACTGAGCATCTTCATATCAGTTGGAGCAGAACTACCGGGACACTAGTGTGCCTGACATAGGACTTAAGAACTATTGCTTCCTGTGCTAACTGGAGGCAGATGGTCATTTGAAGTTTTCCTTGCCTAATTTTTCTTGCCAAAGATTGCCACTCTAAGGACATTTTATTTCATCTATAGCTGTGGGAGAGTTTAATCTCTGTTTCCCATATTTCACAGCCTTTCTTACAATCTGTATCAGCAAAGATCTGGTCTTCGTTCTGGTTTGAGAATGATTATTTAAACAGCCCAGAGGAAACAGAAGCAGAAAGAGTGTGGTTGTGAGCATGAACGCTTTGTAGAGCTCTCCTGGCAGGAGAGCTTTATGAAAGTATATTTGAGAATGCATATTTGATGACAAGCGAAACTATGCTTCCAAGGATCAAATCTGGAACCAATGGAGAAAAATTGGGAGTGTCTGGTTCATTTGGTAGTACTTTATCCTCACTGCTTCTGGTTTCCTAATTTATCTCTTTCTCTTGCCTACATCTTTTCAGAATAGATGCTGGCTTTCAATCTTCCATTTTGTGCTATTGGCCAACAGGTAGAGGATGTGATTCCTTGGCTTCCGGCGCTTTTAATGGGGTAATGATAACTGCCTTATAATTGTGAGGAATATTATAGCTTGTGAGCCTCATTCCAATGATTTTTTTTTCCATGATCAAACTTTCAGTTTTCATAGCAACCCATTGTTTGCTATTCCCACTCTACCAGTGAAAAATCAGAGCTGAGAGAAGTTAAGTCACATAATTAGTAACTAGTGGAGTTAGGAGATCTACAGAGAATTATGAGGGAAAATACCTGTTTTTGTGATACTTAATCATCTTTTCTTCCCCTTTAAAAAATTCTTTGATTCTATGATTAATGGAAGGAGATAGGTGGGAGGTTGGAAGTTGACCAGAAAAGGCTTCAAGGAAGAAATGGTCTGTCCAGAGTGGATATCAAGAATTGAAGTTGATGTGACAAATTTACAATTACAGCAGACCCTGCCAGGTTGCTTTCAAGTTGGCTCCGACATAAGGAACCCTCAGTCATAGGAAACAATGTGTTCCTCAGAACCCTTTAAAATGCTTGCTAAACTGATAGGTGAGGAATGGCGCCTTGAGTTGCATTCTCCTGATTAAGGGTGAAGCAGAGTCGCTTCTTACGTTTATTAGCCACTTGGGTTTGCTCTTGAGAATTTCCTCCCTGTACTCTTTCTCATTTTCTGTTGGGTGGTTCTGTCTTTACTCTTTCTTTGGATTGAGTTATTGTCATTCTTTATGTATTCTAGATAGTAATCCTTCATCTACTATTTCTGTTGCAAATATGTCCTCGCAGCCTGTCCTTTGTGAGTACTTAAGTAATTAAGAGCAACAGAAATAAGAATATGAGATTATCTTTCAAAATGAGATCATAAAGAAGTTGGTTTAATGTATATGTTAAAGAAAGAAAAGAAATGGAATTTGAAATTAAGTCCTGAGGAATGGGCAGGGTTTAGGAAGGGTAGGAAAGCAGTATGATAAAAAAGACACTGCTAAGTAAGAAAGTCCTTGGTACATTCCAGAACTGCTAAGAAGACTGACCTGGCAGAATTAGGCAATTCTCACTGGGTTATAACGGAGATGAAACTGGAGAAATAGGCTTTGTGTAAAGTCAGGGGCTTCCGATGCCAGAGTGAGGAATTTGGAATTTGTCCTGTGAGAATTTTTTGATTGAAACATGATATTTAATCAATATTTTGAAAAAAATTAACCTGACTACAGAGTGTCAGGTGATTTGAGGCAAGAAGAAATGGACGTTAGATGCACCCATAGGTGCTAAAGCTGAATTAAGTTGGCAGTGGAGTGATCTGAGAGGAAGGGAATAATTAAAGAGATGTTTTTTTTTTTAAAGATTTTATTTAATTATTTGTCAGAGAGAGAGAGAGGGAGAGAGAGCAAGCACAGGCAGACAGAATGGCAGGCAGAGGCAGAGGGAGAAGCAGGCTCCCTGATGAGCAAGGAGCCCGATGTGGGACTCGATCCCAGGACGCTGGGATCATGACCTGAGCCGAAGGCAGCTGCTTAACCAACTGAGCCACCCAGGCGTCCCTAAAGAGATGTTTTAAAGCAAAAAAATGCCAACTCTTGCTGATTGATTGGATGCCCTGCAGATTACAAATGGCTGAGAGAACCGTGATGTCTTAAGTTACTTGGGAAGGAAAATGAGTTGTGGTGCGCAAATGATACTAAATCCTGAAAATTTGCTGAAGAGATTGAGACCGGAGAGAGGGGGATAGAATTGGTGACTTTGGGACTGCAATTTTAGGTGAGTCTAAGGATAGAACACAGAAGCAATTTAAATTTTAAAATGACTAGAAACTTAACGTGAGGAAATGAAGACGGAATTTAGGTCTCATTTATTTATTTATTTATTTGACAGACAGAGATCACAAGTAGGCAGAGAGGCAGGCAGAGAGAGGAGGAAGCAGGCTCCCTGCCGAGGAGAGAGCCTGATGCGGGGCTCGATCCCAGGACCCTGAGATCATGACCTGAGCCGAAGTCAGATGGTTTAACCCACTGAGCCACCCAGGCGCCCCAGGCCTTATTTATTTTAAAGGGAGAAGAGAAACCAACAGAGACAGAAAAGGCTGCTCTTCTCTGTGTCCGGGTATTGGTTCTTTACCACCTGTCTGCCACCGGGGACATCTCCCAGGCTGTTCCCCTGGTTCTGAGGATGACAAAGCTGAAGTCCCGACTGGGGGAGAGCACGGGAGTTTCTTGTGGAAACCATTAAGGAACCGAGGAAAATCACTGTCAAGGAGGCAGCTTCTGAAGCACCCTGAGATGTTTCTCCTCACTGATGAAATGAGTCACTAAGAATGCAGAATGCAACTGAGCATGCTCAAAAGCTGTGTCTTTAAAATAATTTAAGCAGTGCCAGTATTAACTTTTTTTTTGGTATTAACTTCTATAATGAAAAAAATATATTTCAAGATTTAGTGTTCATCCTGTATTGGCATGTATTAGTGCTTTATTAATGCTGTTGTTTGATTTTTCTAATGATGATCTGACACTGTTTTTTTTCTTCAAGATGTTTTTTCTTTTTAAAGATTTTATTTGAGAGAGAGCGTGTGTGCACAAGTCGGGGGTGGAGGGCGAGAAGGGAGAGGGAAAAGCAGACTCGGTGCTGAGTGTGGAGCCCGATGTGGGGCCCAATCTCGTAATTCTGAAATCATGATCTGAGCCAAAATCAAGAGTCGGATGCTTAACCGACTGAGCCACCTGGGCGCCCCTCTTCCGAATGTTTCTCATAACATTTTCCTTAAACATAGTCACGGTGTATAGACAACGAGATAGAGGAGATCAGTGGGCTAGAGCTGTGTAGTGGCCTAACGCACCTGAGTCTGGCCAAGAACAAGATCACATCAATTAACGGCTTAGGCATGCTGCCAATCAAGATCCTTTGTCTGGTGAGTCTAACCAAAAGTTACTTTTTTTTTTTTTTAAAGATTTTATTTATTTATTTGAGAGAGAGACAGTGAGAGAGAGCATGAGCGAGGAGAAGGTCAGAGGGAGAAGCAGACTCCCCATGGAGCTGAGAGCCCGATGTGGGACTTGATCCCGGGACCCCGGGATCATGACCTGAGCGGAAGGCAGTCGTCCAACCAACTGAGCCACCCAGGCGTCCCACTTTTTTTTTTTTTTTAAGATTTTATTTATTTGCCAGAGAGAGAGTGCAAGCAGGGGGAGCAGCAGGCAGAGGGAGAGGGAGAAGCAGGCTCCCTGCTGAACGGAGAGCCTGATGCAGGACTTGATCCCAGGATCCCCGGATCATGACCCGAGCTGAAGGCAGATGCTTAACCATCTGAGCCACCCAGGTGCCCCCAAAAGTTATTCTTGATGGAAAGTACTAGTTAATGTTTTAGCAAGTGTATGAATGATAATTGAATGAAAATCAGGATTTTTCTTTTTTTTTTTTTTTTTAAAGATTTTTTTAATTTATTCATTTGACAGATAGAGATCACAAGTAGGTAGAGAGACAGGCAGAGAGAGAGGAGGAAGCAGGCTCCCCGCTGAGCAGAGAGCCCGATGCGGGGCTCGATCCCAGGACCCTGGGATCATGACCTGAGCCGAAGGCAGAGGCTTTAACCCACTGAGCCACCCAGGCGCCCCGAAAATCAGGATTTTTCAAGATGAAGAACTGATTCCTTCATGAAAGTTTTTGTCTTCCATTTTGTTTGCTCCTTTCAGTGCCGTATATGTGTAGGATCAGTATTTCCTGCTGTAGTAAAGTGATTTTCTAATTTGGCATCCAAATTCAATTTTTTAAAGGATTGACATTTTACACTGAAAAAGAAGAGAATACTTTTAACAACTATTGAAAATACATTTCATAATGTCTCACTGATGAAATAACACTTAAGCATATTTAAGCATAATATTTAGTGCTATTTACACGTTATTGTTCTCAAATGAACCATAAGATGTTATCTGAATTTTGGCAGTGCTTTTATATTAATATATGCTAGTTTCCCATTTTAGAAAACCAAAATTGATGCTGAGACTAAAGGAGCAATTCCAATCAGAAACTTGAAATTTTTTTTTTTTAAAGATTTTATTTATTTATTTGTCAGAGAGAGAGAGGGAGAGCGAGCGAGCACAGGCAGACAGAATGGCAGGCAGAGGCAGAGGAAGAAGCAGGCTCCCTGACGAGCAAGGAGCCCGATGTGGGACTCGATCCCAGGACGCTGGGATCATGACCTGAGCCGAAGGCAGCTGCTTAACCAACTGAGCCACCCAGGCATCCCAGAAACTTGAAATTTTTAAATTTTTTTCCCATAGAACTTTTCTTAAGCTCTGACATGCACTGTGACTATGAATAAACATGCAGATAATTTATCAAAAAGTCAGCAGAATTATAATAGTTCTAAAGATATATACAGTGTTTTTGAAATAACAGATTAGCTCACTAATTTAAAAGCTGATGATATAGTTGTGGATTATTCAAGATTCTTCGTCCTTTCCTCCTCTCTCCTACGTCTTACCCTTGGATGGCTTTGCTGTTTTTTATTATATCCGTCACAAGGTGGGCAGGGAGGATTTTAAGCCACAAGGCTGGTAGCTTATTAATTTCTTATGTGAACTATCCCATGGGAGATTGTTGAACTGCTCTTTGAAATGACATCTTGGGGTTATCTGCAGATTTATGACATTTCTAATAGACTATTCCTGTCTTATTTAAACTACAGATAGCGGAAGGTTGGCTAGTATTCATTTTTCTCTCTCTGAGCTTGGAACACTTTTTCAAGAGACTTCACTCCTCACGGCGAGTTAGGTGAGGGCAAAGTATTGGTTCCAGTACCAAGGATGGACTGGAGGCGTGGAGAGGTCTCATAATGTTCCTAAGGTTTCATGTTTTCTGTCCACCAGCGCATGTTAGCAAAACATAAAAAGAAAATGAATTTGTTACGTTGGTGGGCAAATTTAAAAATTATAAAAGAAAGTCACATTCAAAAAATGATAATTTAAAGGAGTACTGGCAATGTGTACTACTCCAATGGTACCTCATTAGAACCTTATCCTTCTCTTTACATCTCTTTGTACTGGCGCTCCCATTAACTTTAAGTGGAGCATGGTATGTGGAAAGAGATAGGGGGGTGTGCTTAGAGGCAGGAGAACTGAACTCATGATTAAGAAGATTAACACATAGGGGCACCTGGGTGGCTCAGTGGGTTAAACCTCTGCCTTCGGCTCGGGTCATGATCTCAGGGTTCTGGGATCGAGCCCCGCATCAGGCTCTGCTCGGTGGGAAGCCTGCTTCTCCCTCTCTCTCTCTTCCTGCCTTTCTGCCTACTTGTGATCTCTCTCTCTCTGTCAAATAAATAAAATCTTTAAAAAAAAAAAAAGAAGATTAACACATAGCACTTTTATCCCAAGAGTTTATTTCAATAATTAAACAAGTAATCCATGTTGATTGTCCCATCTCACGCAGCTTTTAGAAAAAGCATAAAAGACATATTTTTTCTACAAATAAATTTGGGGGATTGTTCCCAGTCCCTGCCCCAGTCACCCAAGATGAATCAGAAAATATGGACCATGGCATCATTCATTTTCCCTTAAAATTTTTGAGAAGAGTAAGGGTTTCTTTCACAAATGTTAATGAAATATGTAAGATAAAATGATACACATTTGTTTCAACAGTTAATGCTCTTATGTTTTAGTTTGTGGAATTAGAAAACCAACTGCTTTACTACTGCAAATAATTCATTTTACATTTTTTAAGAGAAAAAAGAATAATTCGCTATACAAACCAGTTAATTCTCTACCATCAGCTTTTACAGTAAATGGAAGGGGATAATGTGGGTCACTCATGGGCTTTTCTGTCAACTGCTGCTTTGAGCAAGGGAGGACAATACATTCCACACTTTAAAATTCATTTTGTCTTACTAAGAGCCGTTTATATTTTCCTTTCCGAATTGGGGAGATGAATAATATTTCTCATTTCATCTGTTTAAGAAAATAGCTTTGCTCTAAAGGCCTCCTTTTCCCTGCTAATCATGATTTTACAAAAAAGAAAAGAAGAAAAGAACTCGCTGAAACTGGATGTCCACTCTGAGGGGCAATGTGCCCGTTTTTCAGCATCAGATAAAGGGTTTGACTAGATAACTTTCAACTCAGAAATTCTGTGATTCTGAGTATCTCCCCATTCTGCCTTCCTTTATGAACATAGGCTAACTAATTAAACGTTTCTATGCCTCACTCTACTCTTATGCATCTACCACTTTGAAAGCCAGCAGAGACGCTGTAAAGATTTATTACAGTCTGTCTTCCATAGTTTTAACACTTCAAAGTCCTTTGGGAAGAACTGTATTGTATATAAATTTTACATGTGGGCATATTTTAAATAGGATATTGAGGTCTTATTTCAATAAGTTAAATTAGTATAGATATTATGTTAACTTTAGTGCAGTTTTTTCTTTTCCTTTCCTATTACACTTTTTAGAACTTTTCTGAACTCTGAATAGTAGGAAATTCGACTTAACTTAGGCAAATGGGGGTTATGAGTATTTTTCCCTTCTGATTATGGAATTGTTCAAACATATATTTAAAAAAGGGAATAGTTTAATGAACCCCCATGTATTATCACCCAGCTTTGTAAATTACCAACATTCTAGTAATATATTTTAAAGAGCCACAGAATTAAACTAATTACTACAAATCTTGCTCATTACTGAAGTGAAATCTTAAGAAAGATAGGATGAAAATGAGCTCTTGCTATTACAATGTACCAGGAATCATATATCAGGAAAAATACTGTAGATGGAAGAGCATGTGTAATTTAATTTTTCAGTTAAGTGCTTATTAAAAGTATTAAAAGTTTAAAGATGGGCATTTTATGTCATTAATTGAAACCTCAAAATTGTCTTTATGATTCCCAACTAAAACTGAAAGTGTAAATTTACTGTGACATGTTCTTACACTTTGAGGCTAAGAAACCCAAGGAACTGTATGTTGGAAAACGCACAAGAAAATGCAGATTATTGTGGCCACTGTCATTTCTGGTTATGGTCCGCGGGGGTTGGGAAAGAGAATCTCTGAATCTTTGTTTTATGCTCATTGTCTGAGAAGATGCTTATATGTGAATTATTGAAGAACACAGTTATCTATTGTTGAATAACAAGCCATCCCAAGTGTAGTGCATGGAGAAATATTACTCGTTAACCATGGTTTTGGCCAGCCGTTCTGCAATCTGAGCTGGGTTCAGCAGGGTGGTTCTTCTGCTGCTCTTGCTTCATTCAGCTGGCAGACTCGCTGGGGGCTGCGCTCAGCAGGGATGCTGGAATGGCTGGATTTTTCCTCTCTTTAGTGTCAGGGCCCCTTTCCGTGTGACCTCCTCTTCTCCATGCGATCTCTCCAAAAATCCTCTCCTAATAGCTAGAGTCCTTACATGGCAGCGCAGGGCTCCAAGACACAAGAAGGGAAACTACCAGGCCTTCTTAATTCTTAGACTTGGAACTGGCATACTTCTGCCATATTCTTTTGCTTAAGGGAAGTCGTAGGTCTGGCCTAGATTCCAGAGGAGGAACCTGCAGAAGAACATGAATAATTCAAGCCATGAATCAGACTACCACGGCCATCGTGATATGAAGTGATTATATTTAGAATGTTCCTAAAAACCAAGCATTTGTGGTAGTCACACTATTTGAGTGGTGTAACACGATGGAGCTGAAAGACTTGGATTAAATGTTTCTGAAGGTAAACATGGAGTCATGCTGTCTTCAGGCTTTTGGTAAACAATGTTAAAAGCTTATACTACCTAGCTTCTGTCTGTCCTACTGATTCGAACATTCATCTTGCATGAACTTTAGTGAAAATATGACATTCTGATTCTTCCAGCTGAAATACTGGGATTTCTTTCTGGGGTGTTCATATATGTGTTTAGGGAGGTGGTTGGTGGAAATGGGAGGGGGCAGGGGAACAAGAATGGCTTGTTGATTTTGGGAGATTTGGGCAGTATCCAGAATGAAAACTTGGCCTTATACTTTTTCCTACTAGAAGCTTTTAAGATATTGAATGTATTTTACCAATTGTAGAGCAGTAACAGGATTGAGAAGATCACGGGTTTGGAGGACCTAAAAGCCTTGCAGATCGTGGATCTGTCCCACAATCAGATCAGCAGCCTCCAGGGCTTGGAGAACCATGACTTCCTGGAGGTGATCAATCTGGAAGATAATAAGGTAATGTTACACGTCATCTGTCCTGGTTTCAGTGTCCACATAAGAGGACATATTAGGATCCATTATTAGTTTCTCCAGGGCTCTTATTTGAAATGCCAGCTTAGAATTATTCTAGAAAATCTCCAGGAGCAATAGTTGCAGAAGGACTGTTTTGTTTGTAATTAATGCGATTCTTAATTTTTGAAAATTTGATGATTCCTGATACATTGTTTTAAGGGTTTAATCTGCAATCGAGTGGACATGATTTTCTGAAGTAGATGTGTTCATGTAAAGTTTTGTATAGAAAGGTGACCTTGGGAGTATCTGAAGTGTCAGAGCAGGGAAATGAGAAACATGAGAAGAGCCTCAGGCTGGTATTGCCTGTGACTGTCATTTAAGGAGAAGAGGCATAGTCCAATATTCTGTTGGTAACAATAGTGTATGTTCCTAATCTGTAGGAGTTGGGGATTGGATAGACTCAAATTTTCCATATCTGGCTTAAAACAAACTTTGTTTCACAAATTATAAAAATTGGCATTCACTCTTATTATACATTATTTTCAGTGAAGTGTTTGGGCTTGTAATCATGGTTTATTGATGACTTAAGCAATAATGTCTACAATACAATTTTATTCTGAGTACTTTGTCACATTTTTTGGAAAGACATCGTAAGGAAGTTGACTATTTCTTCCTGAAAATGCAAACTTTGGCCCTGAAAGAGGCATGGGTCTTACCTGGGGGCAGATGTGGTGCTGTGGAGACCTTTCTCTGTTCAGGTACGATGGTACTTATCAGTTATGTCTGATGACTCTTTTTCCAATGAACTTGCATCACCTGTTCGTCTAAACATCAAGAAAAGGCCATCTTTAGGTCTGGGACTTTTAATCATAGATAAAGTAGACTTTTAATCACAGACAAAACTCTTAGTCCTTATTTTGACTTGATTTGTATATTAAATTGTTTTGTCAACTTCTAAAGTTCATTTAACTTTTGTTCCCTGTGCCACGTGTCTTATGGAGTCAGCATAGTCTCTATTTCATACAGGTTTAGTGTCCTTTCGTGAAATTACCATGAAAATGGTTCTCACCTGTATCCAGGGAGTATTGAAAAGGTGAAATGCATTCATTGAATCCCAACTGAATGCATCTCAGAAGTCAGGGGAAGGAATAATGATTCATGTTAGTAATAGTAATAATTGCAATCAGAGGATCATCTAGAGATATTTGCTGAGTACCCGTGCACATGGCACTGTTCTAAGCGCTTCACATCCTTTGTCCCATTTAATCCTCATTATATCCCTACTATTGTCATATTTTCTGGATGAGGAAACTGGGGCACAGAAAGGTTAAGTGTGACATGCCCAAAATTCTACGCCTAGCAAAGAGCAGAGCCAGGACGCAAATGTAGGATGGTTTGCCTCCAGACTCAGTGTTCTCAAAGCTGAAGCATAGTACAGTAAATGAAATGCTGGTGACTCTTCCTTCAGGAAAGCCTAGAGTATAATGCTCTACAAGAGTGCTTTCTTTCTTTTCTTTTCCTTTTTTTTTTAAAGATTTTATTTATTTATTTGACAGAGAGAGCACAAGTAGGCAGAGAGGCAGGCAGAGAGAGAGGAGTAAAGCAGGTTCCCTGCTGAGCAGAGAGCCAGATGCGGGGCTCGATCCCAGGACCCTGAGATCATGACCTGAGCTGAAGGCAGAAGCTTTAACCCACTGAGGCACCCAGGCACCCCCAAGAGTGCTTTCTGATAGAAATATAATGCAAGCCATAACTGTGAGCCATATATACAATTTTAAGTTTTCTAGTAGCCACAATAAAAAAGTAAGAAGAAATATGTGAAAATAATTGTAATAATATCTTGTATTTAGCCCAATACATCCAAAATATCATCATGTCAACATGTAATATACAAAAAAAAAAAAAAATCATTGATGAGGAGCTTTATAACCTCTTGCCCATGCTAAGCTTTTGACATCTGATGTGTATTTTGTACTTAAGGCACATTTCAGTTCATCCTAGCCATACTCCACCTGTGGCTAGTAACTGCCATACTGGATAGTGCTGCTCTAGAAAGACCTCATGAATAAATATATCATTTTCTTCCATTTCAAGAGGCATTTCAAGTTACATTTGAAAACGTTTAAGGGGGAAAAAAAAGTATCATTAAGTGAGTAAAGGAGTTTATAAATTTCAAATGTTCAGGAGACTCTATTAAAGAAAAAGTGGCCATGTGTCCCAAAGCAGGGAATCCTTTGGGAACAATTGAGTCTGTAACAATAACATAATTCCCTGGCTTCCCAGTGGGCAGGTTGGGGAGCAACCAACAGTAGTTTGAAATGTTCTTCATGCCTTGCACAGATTTCCTTAGAGGTTTCCCCAGTACTACTGAGAATACCATGTCAGGGATGGAAAGTTTGTCATTTTTACAGAAACATAACTTAGCTGTTGCTCCTCATGATTAATTCGATGTTTTATCATTTGTACTTCCGTCAGTATTATTTACTTGCTTTTCGTGGCTGGCACATGGCTGTACCCTCACACGAACATTTCATCATCTCTTTTAAGTTCCTCTGCAAATATTTCCCATCGTTGGGTGATTTGGGGGCCCTTATCACTCTCTATAGTCCTTGTTTGCATGGATGTCATTTCTGCCATTTAAAACTTATCTCCCAAATGTTAACTCTATGATAACCTCAGGCCTTTCTTCTAGAAACAAGACATTGGTTGGGGAGTTACTCAGAGAACACTGTTTTCCTTCTTCTTTTTTTTTTTTAAGATTTTATTTATTTGACAGACAAGAGATCACAAGTAGGCAGAGAGGCAGGCAGAGAGAGAGGAGGAAGCAGGCTCCCCGCTGAGCAGAGAGCCCGATGCGGGGCTCGATCCCAGGACTCTGGGATCATGACCTGAGCCGAAGGCAGAGGCTTTAACCCACTAGGCCACCCAGGCGCCCCTGTTTTCCTTCTTTTAGTGTCATTATTTCACAAATCAATCAGCCAATCAGTCAAAGAAAAAAGCCCTCACAGGGGGCTTTAAGTGTGGATGCTGGGGCTGGGAGAGCAGAGCCTAGGAGGAAACAGTGAAATGAGTCAACTAAACTGCTCTCCCTAGGAATTTCAAGTTGACAAGCTGCTAGGGGTTGGGAGTAACCCCTAGTGGCAGAGGAGGTTTGAGAAGAGGGGCATCTGGAATCTGGGGATCAGCTCTGCTGGTGTGACATGGCTCAAGGCCCTCCAGGAATAGAACCTTTCCGGCGATGTCTCACTTCAAGTCATTTGGGGCGCTGTACCCCTACACCTACTGTAACGAATAGTTTGTGAGGCACACAGCCCTGGGTTTGGCATTTGAGAAGAAGACATGAGGATGGGTCTGCTGTAGGGTGAGGTCTTCAGGAGAGGGACCAAGGGCACAGTCAGGACAACCGGTATCTGTGGAGTGTGGCTAATTCAGCAGGCGTAGGATCTTGAAGCCGGGCTAGCGCATACGTGCTTTGCTCTCCCCTTAACACTCTCTTCCTACCTTTGAAAGAGCTAGTGGGAAGGGAACTGGATCCCTCTCATGTGACTCTCAAAAGACCAGATGATCCCAGCTGACATGTTCTAATTTTATGTAGTCCGTGATCATGCTATTCATGTTGTTTGCAACATTTCAAGATCTTTCCATGTCAGTTATCAGAGATATCTCTACCCTTCTAAAGGGTGCATAGTGTTCCTATTATGGGACTGTGCTATGACTCATTTAATCACCTAATGGTGGGGTTATTCAGAATTGAGGAATTTTTAAACTTTTACTAAAAATGCTGGGCCCAGTGTTCTTTATCTAATGTTTGCCGGTCTGATGATCTCTTCAGTGCAAACCTCTTGAGGAAGGGGTCACTGGTTCATAGCTTATGTACACGTAACCCATTAGCTTGCCTCTTAGGAAAAACATGCCAGTTTCCACGCTCACCAGCAGTGTGTGCCAGGGCACATGGCCAGGACTTAGTGGTGAGACATGCTCATTGCAGGAAAACATCCCCCTTCTCGCATCTGTGTTGGGTCCAAGCACAGGGGCTGTACGCTAGAGGAAAATCAGCCCGCTGCTCTGACCAAGCAGTGTGAACCTAGTTGACTATTCCACGTTCCTGAATCACACGGTATTTAAAAAATAATCCTTTTATCATGCAGAGGATCTAAATGTCACTCTAATGGATATAACCATTGTGTTGAAAGAGCTGTGTCTGATAGCATAGCATTGCTATAAGCAGATAAATGCTTATTAATAAGCATCTAGAACGAATGCAGGTTCGATATGATGACTCAGAATTTACCTTTTATATTACGTCTTTGAAAATGGCATCCCTTGAACATAGTGCATATGTCCTTCCCCTGATTTAGCTCTGGGAGTAGTTCAATTTGAGCTGTGTTTTGTGTTTGGATAACTCCGGGATTATTGGTCACTACCTTTGGAGAGTGTTCACAACGCAAGCAGGAATGACCTGGGGAGAAATAGAAATGATGTGATTATTAATTTTTTTGCAAAAGTTTAATAGCCACATTTGAAATAAAATTATAATTATGCTAACTACAGGAAATTTAAGTAAAACCGTTTGTGTTTAGCAGGAAATTCAGGCATTCTGCAACCCAAGCTTTCTCCTTGGTCAAATTAAGGAACTGACCAGCAACTTTTTTTCATTTTTTTAAAGTTGTGAAACATAACCTACACAGAAAAGAGTATAAAACATAAGGATACGGTGTAAACAAAAAATTGTAAGGCGAACACCCACATCAAGAACTGTGTCATATCATTTCTGTTTTTATCTTTCCTTAAAATAATTACCTGTTGTTGAAAAAACAATAGAGCTACGCATGCACACGTAGTAAGAAGTCTTCACCAGTCCCAAACAGCCAGGTTAGCAGAGGCAGTGCTGGGGAGGGAGACTGGGGAGCAGGAGGGTTAGGAAGGATTAGGGCCTAGGAGAGAGAACCACGGAGCCCCCACCTGCGTTTTTTGTCCTATTTCTCTGATTCTGCATATTAAGTTATCTCTGCCTTAAAATAAATATGGCTGAGAGGAGGATCAGCTCACTGTTCTTTAAACAGGAAAAAAGAAAACATGGCTGTGTGTGTTCCCATTTAGTGAGGCGGCACGCGGTCGTTCCTGTGCTCTGCGATCTGAATACTCCTTAGAAGGCTGGGCTACGCAACAGAGCAGTTTCTAAAAGAAGTTGACGTTAGAAGATCCAAGTCAGCTCCTTTCACAGAACTTTGTATTATGGGTTGCACAGTTAGTCTACTGATAATACTTTGTTTCTTTGATTAAACAGATTGCCGAGCTGGGTGAAATAGAATACATTGAAAATCTACCTCTCCTCCGGGTTCTCAATTTTCTAAGAAATCCAATTCAGGTGAGAGAGAGAATATGTGGGGAGAGGGGGTGAGGACCTTCTTGGAATTCTTCAAGAGGTACTTTTGATAAGGAGCATCAGGGATGTGATGCCCCGTGTTTACCTTCACTCTCCATCTCTAAGGAAACAATTAGGAGGTTTAGGCAAAGGAGAAGCTGTTGGTGCCCTAGGCCACAGTGGAGCCTGGAGTGCCCTGTCTGGGGCTGGGGGAGGGGCCTGGGGAGGGTTGGGGGGGGCGTCACGTGTGACTCATCCCAGCTGGTAATAAAAATCACCTGACGCAGCCACTGACCCTGGAGCAATGTCCTTTTATGTCATAGAAGACACCATGCTGGAGGTGTAGACAGACACTGGTTCCTGTGGTGTACGAGGGGAAAGGTCTCAGATCTCTATAGTAATTGGTCTGGATATAGCTGGGGAAATTGGTGGTGTTGGAAAAACGATTATAGAAAGAAATACTCTATTTCCTATGGATTGTTCACCTCTGGTATTCAAAAATCCACTGTTAAGCCTCTGTCTTTCCTACCCTTGATAGTTTCTCTCTCCTGGCTTCTGTCCCTCCCTCTTTTTCCATTTGTCCTTCATTCCATTTTGCTACCTATACCCTTCCCTTCCCTTTCCAGAGACTCTTGAATTTAAATGTACCTCTGAGTACCTTTTTCTGTGTGTGTAACTTGAGGAACATGTCTGGCCAACAAAAAGAAAAAAAAAAAAAAGAGCACAAGCAAAAATGAAAAACAAGATTAAAAAATAAATCCAGTCCTTGGTATGGGAATAGTGGCCGCCACCTTAAAAGCATTTCTGGTAAGAAAGGAGCAGGACTTACAAAGCAGCCACCAACCTCCCTCCCCCTTCCAGTTTTAGAGCCATGGGGAGTGTTTGCGCATGCGCATAAATAAATACCACAAACCCTTTCACGGGCATTAGCTCACTTATATACACAACTCGCCCATCAAAGGACAAAAAGGATACTTTGTATGTTCATTTCATGTAATTTCTTATCTATAAATGCATCACCCACTAATACCTTTCTCTTCAAAGATGTTTCTTAATACAAAACTTTAATTCTATTTCTAAAAGCCAGATAATCCTAACATGGCAGCTAGTTGGGAGTTGGGAGTAAGAATTTGTTCTATAAATGAATAATATTTATTGTAAAATAAATTCCAAACAGTACAAGTTCAAAATAATACAAAATAATACTAAACAAATGACAAAGTCGTCATAAATAATGTTCATTATTTGCAATAATGAACCTCTTTGGAGCTAGAGGACAGGATTTGAATCCCTGGCCACAGAATCTAAGGTGAAATGCTTCACCACTGAGGCTTGGTTAGTTTCTCTTTAGAAATGAGGATGGTCATACCCGTCCTGCTTATGTCACAGGGAGATTAACAAGATCACACGTTTGAAGAGCTTTGTAAAGCTACAAGGCACAGTCTGCATGTGAGTTAATATGAGAGGACTAGTGATCATGAAAGTGTAGACACCTTGAGGGTGTGTGTGTGTGTGTCGACAGGGTAGAACTGAAACACCTACTTGTGGGAGTAGCATGCTAGCGCTTGCTCACGTGGGAAAGGAAGGCAACTGAATATTCCTCTTCATATTTTAACAAGGAAAAATCTGAATATTGGTTCTTCGTGATTTTTATGCTCCTACGATTAACAGAATTAGACCAGAAGAAAATTAAAGTGGAAGAAAAGGTATGTAATCATATTATTCCATGTGTTTGAGAGTTAGTGTGCTCAAGGGCTTTGCTGCCTGCCACGGGACCAATGTAATCAGTAAGAGGCGCACATGACAATGTGGGAAGTAATGGCTTATTTAGGGAGTGGTTCCTTACTCTGTCTTAACCCCCAGCAAAGCTGAGCATCAGCACCAATGCGGCGAAGGTGCTGCTCTTGCACAGTCAACAGGCCAGCAGTAGGGACGGAAGCCGCGCTCCACGGCTCCAGGCAGCAGCACGATGGCAGTCTGTTAATTTTGGATAACTACCATTCCTGGAGGGTGTGTGATTCTGTCTATGTTGTTCTAAACACTCATTTAATAATGAAATTTATTATTATGTCATTCTACATATATAATCAAAAGGTACTCAGATCAGTCTCCTGGTATTTTAAACCCTTAATTCTGCTCTTTAAATTCATGATCCCCCTGGACACACAGTTCCAGAGTGATGGGACCTGACACGCTAGAACCTGCCTCCCTGCTACCATACCGGGGTGGGACTTTGTCTTGCTTTAGTGAGTGGTGACAGCCGAAATCTCCATTAACGAAGGATTTCTCACACTAAATGCAAAGTTGAGGTGAGCATGAAAACAGTTATAAGCATGTAGAGCAGCCGATATTCTGCTTCATACTTCCCTCTTGGAAATTGCGGTTAAAAATAGTTACGGATGTTAGTGCCTTGTTATTCTCAAACTCAGAGGCACTTCCTAGATTTCTCTTTCTCTTTAATGTTTTGTGAAGGGAGTGCAGTTCAAAAGCCTGCATTAAGTAAAGGTGGGGTACACGAGGATCATGGATGTAGAGGGGTGGCAAGGACATTCAGTTAGAGAAGTCTGTGTTGCGAGAGAAAGACCCCTATCTTTGAACACAGGAAGCTCTGCTGAAAGAGGAGGAGGTTTGGGTAGAATTTGAGATAATTGGAATGGCTCCTGGTGAGATGACATGAGGAACACGTCCCCATGGTATCGACGACCTGGGATCTAGAACTTTGTATTTTATTCCTTCCTCTCAGGCTCAAAGTGGGCGTGTTTACTGTATTAAAAGTACTCTTGGGCTTTAGAGGTTTGGTGTTTGCGTCTTCCCTCCCAAACTGGAGAGCAGAAAGAAGTGGGGGACCCGTGGACTCCAGCTCAGTATTTTAAGATAACCATCCTTATTTAGGTTTTGGGAAAGTTAGAGTAGACAGGACGTTGGAGCGCAAAGGTCGTGAGCATGCGTTAAGTTATTTTCCGTACCCGGTTGCCTGTCTTGAATGTTTTGCTCAAGAAAATTTAAGACTTGTCTTCTTTGAAGAAATGAAGCATGTTTTCCTCTTGCATTTCTGATTCTGGAAAAGGTTGCAGCTGTGAATATATACGACCCTCCCCCTGAAGTGGTCGCAGCCCAAGATCACCTGACCCATGTCGTCAACAGCGTGATGCAGCCCCAGAGGATCTTTGACAGGTATTCGGGAGGGATCCCCAGGGTAGAACTCAGGGTGGTGAGCACAGGACATCCTCGCCGTCTGCCCTAGCCCTCTGTTTTGTGACTCATCCCTTCCTCGCCTTCTCTGAGAGGAGGGTCTTTCTTTGTCTCAGTTTTAGGGATTATCGTCACATGCTTGAGCTCAGGGTTCACTCACTGGTGGTTTCCCAGGTGTGGAGATGAGTGGATTCGTCTCCCCTTGACCATCTGGCCCCTTGAATGGTGGTTAGCTATGATGTAGGACAGTGAAACGCCATGTTTAAAATGTGTCCGTTTTCCTGTTGTAGGACAGAACCATAGACCTTTGCCTCATGAACAGAGAATTGTGATGATTTCTGTCCACTCTAAGTTTTTCCTTAGCTGTGAGTGAATGCTGGATAGCCCTGCCAAAGAGCATGAATGCAAACAATGAGAGAGTCCATAGAAGGAAGCCCAGTCAGCCCAAGGGAAACTTGAGATCGTCTTTACACCGATCGCACTGAGCCCGTGAGTCACCCAGCTTAGCTGAGCGCATGAACAGAGTCTCTCACATCTAAGTTCAAAGACAGATTTACCACAGTTTCTCCGTTTCTTTTTAAACAATCTGTTGGAGCAGATGGCCATTTATGCTATAAGTATATTGCAAAAATTCTATCAATACCCAAAGGCATTTTAAAAATACTTGTAAAATCTCTTCATTATAAATGGCTTCCCTTCTTTATGTGGTATTTGCTTCTGTACTTCACATGGTTGGTTTCCCACAGAGAGCACATGTTTTATTTTGCATCCAGGACATGATTTTTTACATGTAATTTAATAATATAGACATTGACAGTTTTATATATTTATGGTCGCCCTCTAGGTAAACTGATTTATCATTTATTTGCATACATCTGGAAGAGCACATCTGATTTAAAAGAAGGGCATTTATGTCCTCGTTGTATTTCTTTCCTAGTTTATGAGATTGCTAGTTGTTTCATGCTTTAGGGTACATTTATATAAAAATATGTATCAAAGAAATTTACAGCACTGTCTGAAAAACACGTATTTCATCATCATTTGTGGCTACTGAGTAGACAAGAGCAAAATGGCCAAGCAGTCCCAGATGCTCCAGAATGAAGCAGTGTTTGTTGTGAGAAACTCATGGAGACAGGGGCAAGACTACCATTGCCCATCCCAGGCTGGCCCTAACAGGGAACCCTAACTCTTGACCTTGGCACTCTTATGCTGCATTATTGGGGAACACTGTCCCTTCCTCTGGTGCGATGAGGGTGAGGATACAATACTAAAATTACATGGCAGAATCTTGACTCTGGCCTGGTGGTCACTGATAGCTTTCTTGCTCTCCTGCCCTCCAGGCTCATCTTCTACAAGCCCTGTCCATACTCTGGAATTAACCACTTCTCCAAGAAGCCCTGGTTGGTTTCAGTGAGAAATGGTACTTCCCAGTCACAACCTGGTTGCTAGAGGTAATCATTGCTACTGAGTTGGTCATTGTTGTTAGGCTTTTTAGTGGACAGACCTAAGAATGTATTTCTTTCCTTCCTTTCTTCCAACCATCCATCCATTCATCCAGCCATCCACCCATCTATCCAATCACCCACTGGTCTATTTTATCTATCCTGTTTATCTACTTATATGTCTCTGTCCACATCTATTCAATGTGCTTATATCTAGTCTATATAGATAGATCCATATTTATTTATAGGTAGATGATAAAATATCTCCTGAATTCATACTGATACTTACAACTCAATTTTAAGACGATAGTTGAGCTTTTACTTATCCTCCTCTCTATTACATCTGTGTCCTCCTTTCCTCCCACATCAAAAACACAGAGGGAGATGGATTTAGAATATCCCATAATTACTTTTTTAAAATCCCATACTGCAGCACAACAGTATCAGTCCTAATACTACCACTGACATGTTTGCCGAAAACACTGAAATAATATTTTGCCTATGCTCTTCCCATCACCCTGTCCCCATTTTTTATTGTGGTAAAGTATCTATAACATAGAATTTGCCATTTTAACCATTTTAGAGTGTATAACTATGTGGCATTAATTATATTTACACTGTGTGGCAACCATCATCACCACCTGTTTCCAAAATTTTTCATCCCTCCACCCCCCAGCAAAAGCTGTAACCCCTAAGCAGTAACAGCCCAGTTACTACCACTACTCCTGGTCCCTGGAGACTTTGTATCTCCTTTCTATCCCTGAGAACTTGCCTATTGTATATATTTTATGTAAGTGTCAATCACCCACTTTAAAAATAGTGTACCATATTTATATTGTCAGAACGTGTATCCATCACCCACCATATTTCCCCCTTTGCTGTCATTTGTCTTTTTCTGTGGATAACTGCACATTTATGGCTTCCCATCAGCCTTTGTATTAATGTCTCCTGAGTTAATTGGGTGTGCGAAGCTTGTTCTCCTGTAGACTCCTTAGGATGTGCTATGGGATAGTATCCCTTGAACCCTTCCTTATATGTTGATAATATTCTCTGTCCTTTATACTTGAAAGTCATTTTTGTTATATTTAAAATCCATGACTCACACTTTTTCCTTGAATATATAAAAGATGATACTCTTTTTTGGGGGGTGGTGCAAAACATCTATCAAAATCTAAAAACAACTTCCTTTCCCTTGTAAGTCATGTGTTCTCTTTTTCTAGCTGAGTGATTTTTTTTTTCTTTAAAATCAGGTCATTTTGCTAGACTTGTGTCTTAATATTAGTCATTCTGGGCTAATACTCAGGTATGCTGTGTACTCTTTCAATGCATAGTTTTATTTTTTTTTTAAATTTCAGGACAGTTTTCTTGAATTATGGTCTTTAATATTTGTTCTGTTCCTTTGCTTTGGTTTTCTCCTTCAGAAAGAAGATCTCCTTTGCCTATACTCAATATTTGTCACTTTCAATTTTTTTTTCTCTTTAATCATTTAAAAATTGTACTTTCATATAATTTTATTTTTTATTTGTTTTTATTTAAATTCAATTAGCCCACATATAGGACATCATAGTGTTCAATGATTCATAAATTGTGTATGACTTTGAGATAATTTTAGGTTCACATGCAGCTGTAAGAGATAATACAGAGAAATTCTAGATGTTTCTAGATGTTTCTAGGGGTGATACCTTGCGTAACTACAGCAGAATATCAAAACCAGGAACTTGACATTGATACAACCCACCGGCCTGATCAGATTTCACCAGCTTTGCATGTACTCGTGGGTGCATTTAGTTATATGCGGTGTTGCCACATGTCTAGATCGTATGAGCACCACCACAGAAGAGTTTTGTCACAAGGATCCCTGCACTTCCCTTTTAGGGCCACAGCCACCTCCTTCCTCTTCAACTCCCCTACTCCCTGGCAGCCAGTGGTCCAGTCTCCACGTCTATCATGTTGTCATTTCAAGAATATGATACAAACAATCATATCATGTATAACCTTTTAGGATTGGCTTTTTTTTTTTTTTTAACTTAGCCTTATTCCCTGGAGATACATCCAAGTTGTTGGATATACCAACAATTCATTCCCCCCTTTTTTTTTTTTGCCGAGTCATATTCCTTGTGTGGACGCACCACAATTAGTTTAACTATTCATCTCTCGAAAGGCTTCTGAGCTGATTCTGTTTGGGGCTATTACAAATCCAGCTATTATGAATACGGATGTACAGATTTAGTTCATGTAGAGTTTCAGCCTGTTTGCTTTCCAGTGGATATCCGTTGGCCCTGCTGGGGTTCCTTTGTCTTCAGGCATGTCACTTGCTGCCCCATTTCATCCCCCCGCGTGGATCCCTGCAATGTACAAGGCTCTGTGGGCTTTTGGTTCATGGAAAAACTTTTTCATCTGGTTTTGTTACACATGTTATCCATGGGCTTTTGCTGTTAACTTTTTCCATTTTTTGTGTTTTTTCCCCTGTGAATGTTCAGAGAGATTGAAAAATTATACTGCCACCACCTCCATTCTTCATAGAATCTATACCTTAGCGTGTATTCTTAAAATATATCTTATTCTGTATTTCTATAGTTGTGGCACGAGTGGAATTCACACACCTCAGCCAGCATGTTTTCACTCCTTAGTCCAGTCTTCCCGGCGCAGAAGCCGTGCCTTGATTCCTATTTTAGCTCTTAGCCATTAGATGTTCCTTTGAGCAAGTTAATTGACCTCTCTGTACTTCAATTTCTTTGTGTATGCAACGGGGATAATCATAGATAATGATAGAAACATCTTCATCCACTTCCTGTAAAAATTAGGTATTATTAGGTATTATTATATTAGGTATTATTATTATTATTATTATTATTATTATTAGGTATTATTATATTAGGTAAATGAGGTAATGCCCACCAGACTCCTAGAATAGTGCCTGGGACATATTGATTGCTCAGGTAAATTTTAATTATTACCATTTTCATTGCATATCTGTGTTCTAATTCAGTGGGCATAGATATTAAAACTTACTTCTCAGAGAGCAGTCTTCCTTCTTTCATGTTGAAGTTCTTAGGGAAATACTTGATCAACTAAGAACTAACACATTTTACCATATTTTTCCTTTTAAAAATGTGGGTAAAGTAAATTTACATGCATTTGGACTTGACTTATTATCTATGCTTTGAATATTATTTTTGACCTATCATCACGACCTTGCTCAGGAAAGTAGGACCAGCCTCCTATCCAGTGCCTGCTGGTAGCAGGTGCTCAGTCACGGGCTTAGGCCTGACTGAGGTGTAGGCCCTGATTTAGGCCTGACTGGGGTGGAAGCCCTGACGTTAGCCTGACTGGGGTGGAGACCCTGACTTAGGTGTGACTGGGTTGGAGACCCTGATTTAGGCGTGACTGGGGTGTAGGCCCTGACTTAGGCCTGACTGGGCTGGAGACCCTGATAGGGGTGACTGGGGTGGAGACCCTGCCTGCTGGCTGTGTATGTGACCAGACCCGGCTGTGACTGCCTGCCCTGTATTCCAGCACTCTCCCCCGCCTGGACGCCCCATATCCCATGCTGGTGCTGGCTGGTCCTGAAGCCTGTGGGAAACGAGAACTTGCTCACCGCCTCTGCAGACAGTTCAGCACGTACTTCCGGTACGGGTAAGTGTGCTCACTGGCCGGGAACGACGTAAAATGTCGGCTGTTGCTCCTTGGGGCTGTTCATTTTCAGCAAGCTTGAAAAGGTACAGAGAAGGCTCATCGGTTTCTTTGCCATTTATCACACTGTGAGAGAGACCCTGCATATTGTCGTCCTTTATTCCCCCAAATGTTCACCTTCATTCACTGACCGCTGACATCACTCTCCAAGGGCTGTAAAATCCATGCGTTTTTAGTGAAGCATGGTGGCATTTGAGGCCAGGCTCGTGCTGTGGCCACCGGCTGCGACAGCAGGGATGAGGATGGGGGTGGGGCACCTGGTGCCCAGAGCTCCCTTCCTCGCCTCCCCCGCCCCCCCGCAACTCCCTCCACTTGCACCTCCACTGCCTCATCTCCACATGGGGAGGCCTCTTCTGAGGCCCATTTCGTGAGGAAGAGAAGAGAAATGATGGCAAACGCTTTTCCTTTTGTTTCCCTTGGGCTAGCGTTCACTGCACTCCAGTTTTCTGGAGGAGACATTTTGTCCTCATGGTCCGGTTAAAATAGAGGAGAATATCAAACAAATGAGGACCATTTAAAAAAATTCTTCAGCTGGGCTTAAAGACTTTTTTTGGGGGGGTTGCTGAAAGACTTTTTAAAGGTTTCTGGGAGTCAGGTTTAGAGCCGCCACTGTGGTCTTTCGAACTGGTTTCCTCTTAATTTTTAACCTATGGCAAAGCAATTACTTCTAGATTAGTAATGTCTGTCGGTGACCAGAGGAGGGGACTGCAAAGATTTTTCGGACAGCAAGAAGAATCGATGCAAATTATTTTCTAATGCCTCGCCTTCCCTTAAGCTGTACATGTTCAAACAATGTAAATACTATTCGAAACAGGTTATTTATTTAGATATCTAAAATTCCATCCCTCATTTGAACAACTCCGGGATCCAAATATATAAAATGATTTATTTGCTAATATATTTTAAATACCCTGAAGTAACAAAAATAAATTAAAACTTAACATTAGAATAAAAAAGTATAGAGTGCCATTATGCCTACTTATATAGGGGTGCTGAACCTGTAGATAAGTAGGTAAGTAGAACACAATGAATGGAAGGTCAAAGTCGGCAGATTGTGTATCCCAACCATTGTGCCAACATGTAAACCCAGAACCTTTGAGCAAACCAGAATTCCGGAAACCAAGGCTTTCTCTGATTAGAATTCCTTTTAATTACGTTATAAACGTTGAGCACCAGGTCCTTCATATGGTTTGTGATACACGTTTATGGAGGCCCGCAGGATCAGGTGTGTTCTCGGAGGTGTTTATTAACTCATCACCAAGATTGTGAGATAGTCCGCCTCTCTGTTCCCACTTGGATGGCCTTCCTCTTATTCATTTTTATTAAATCCTATTTTTCCCCTATTAGAATGCTTATCCACTATGCTTGTGATTGATTTAACATTTGTCTACTCAACTGTAAGCACAAGGAGGGTATGGACCAATGTCAGCTTTGCCTACCGTTTGGTTCTTGGTGTTCAGGAGATGACCAGGCGCTTAATACCTACACGAGAAATACTTGTTAACCAAGTGCCAGATTGAGTGAGTGATTGGGATGAATGAATTAAGGGTATTCTATACCACATTTCGTGGGAAATCACTGTGATAAGAAACAAAGGTGATTTTCTACAACTGCCACTGATGGATATATAGAGGGATGGATTCATTCATTTGTTTACCAATTCTTTCAATAAATATTTATTGAATTCCTCCCATGTGCTAAGCCCTAAAGATACAGTGAGAACAAGACTGATAATGTCCTTGCCTTAATGGAATTTGTAATCTAGTGGGGAACTCAGACCTTTAATTAGTGTCGTGTGGAGGCACAAGGCAGTGAAACAAAACCTTAAAACTAGCTTCGTGCCTACAGTTACTACTGCTATCTTTCTCCTCCTGCTGGAATTAGTGGCCAGTGTGGAAAGACGGGCCTTACTGCCTTGCTGCCAAGTACACACCCACTCACCCACCTCCCTCGCAGGCTCCGAAGCGTTGTCCCACCATTCACTGGCATCCCCATGGACGCAGAGTTCAGAACTTGCTCAGTGGCACATCATTTTAAAAATTCCATCAAGGTATGGATCAAAGATTGTATCATTGGATTAAAAAAAAAAGATTTTAGACAGCTAGTAATTTCATCTGTGGAGAAGGTAAGAAAGTACTACTTTATATGCAGAAAGTTTCTGATTAAAACAAATGATGAAACCAAAGCACATCTTCAGAGGCAAGTCATTGCTCTTGTTTAGATTTTTAAATTCCTTATCCAACATAATTTTTGTTGACTTTTAATGAAATGGGGGAAAAAGGTATAAAAACAGTTTCATCTTGAAATATACAAGTATTTACAAAGGGACTTTCTCTGCCCTTTCCTTGAATCTTTTCTTTCCCATCTATTTCATTTTCTCATGGTATTCTGTCTTCCTTTTTAAATTACACTGCCCCATGATTGAGACATTCAATGAAATTCTCTAAATGCACTAAGTTGTGTATCCAGATATATCAATATTAAAATCATAACATGGTGGTCTAACAAGCATTGGAATGGCTGAGAGATTTTGTCCTCGTGTTAGGTTTTGATTTTTCTATTTGTTCTTGGTTTTAGAAGTAGGTTGGTGGTTCTTTCCTTACCTGTATTAGTTCTACGTGGGGATAGGAATTTACTGCCTTCAAAATCTATTTCCAACCTTAATATTACCACACAAATCAGTGGCTCCCTGGCAGAGTGATGGATAATGAGAGAAACATAAAACAATGCCAGTATACCTGTCCACCTTCCCCATTTAAGGCCTGGAAAGTGATCTGAATAGTCATGAAAGAAAAACTTTAGTCTTCTTTCTGAGATCTCCATTTTACCGCGGTCTCTATCTTTATGACCTTTTTCTTGATGTCGACTACTAAACGTCTTTACTTTTAGTATGCTAGCGCAGTCACGGAAAAGACCACAGCTCTTTAGCTAAATGAGATGTATGAGCTGCAGCTACCTTAATGCAGGCTAACCTAATGCCTGCTTATCCAGATGTGACAAACCGGTAGAACGGCTCATTTATTCATCTAATCAGTGTTTATTGGGCACCAGCCCTGTGCCGGCAGGGACCTGCCGAGCAAACAGACGTGGGCCCTGTCCTGGGAGCTTAGCATCTAGTCTGGGACTCAGGCAGGTCAGTGCTGGCTCACAGGATAGTTGGATGGGTACTGCGATGATCTCCAGGATAGAAGATGTGGAAGACACGTGGGCTGTGGAACTCCAGCGGGAGCACCTTCGGGGTGGGCAGGCATGTTTGATGAACTGCACGTACAACCTGGAGTACCGGAAGTGTGCAGGGAGACGGCGGAAGATAAGACCAGAGACGCAGACAGGAGTCTCAGCAGAAAGGATTTGTAAGCGGGGAGTGCCTTGAGGACTGCTGCATTGTAGAAAGTGCGCCCTGTGGGCTGCTCGGCAGAGGCTGGGAAGGGGAGACTGGAGACCCGGGGACCAGCTGGGGTACAGTCACAGCTCACCATGGTGTGAGTTAGAAAGTGGGCGTGTCGTTACTGGAGAGTGGGCGGGGTGGTGGCTTCCTGGAATGGGATGCTGAGATGTGGGTGGCGCTAGCATCTTAGATGCTGATGATCTCTTTATGCCCAGCAGTCAATTGTCATATATTTGCATTGAGGGTTAGGACTAATTTAATTCTTCTACCAAATGCCCTAGGAAGACCTGGGCTGTTGTGGGTAGCCTATGAAAGAGTTCCCTTACTAACAAGATGGTGTGCTATCGTGGGCTTGAATTTCTTTCTTTTTTATTTATCTTTTTTTCCCCTTGTGATTGAATTTTTTTTTTTTTTTACTATGTTCCGTCAGCCAGCATATAGTACCTCATGAGTTTTTGATGTGGTGTTCAACCATTCATTAGTTGTGCATAACACCCAGTGCTCATCACAACGAGGGCTTGAATTTAGATGTGCTCACAGCCAAACCTCTGCCTAAATATTTCCAGTAGCAAGAAGTTTGTTATTTCCTGAGGCAATCTGGTCCAGAACTGAGATTCTAAAACTGCATGCTTCTGAATCAAACTGAAAACATTTCTACTCCTCATCCAAGTGGCTAGTTCTTCTCCAGCATCTTCTCATCCTATTACATTTCCCTGGATATTGGGCCATTCCGTTGACCTTGTGGATTCCTTCCCCTCCCAATCGTCGTCTCTTCCCCATGGACTTGATTTGCTAAGATCCTCCAGGACAGCTGGCCCATGAAGAGGTCTTTTGAATGTCCAAACTCACTCTCAGACTCTCCAGCCCAGTGTTGTAGTCTGGCATTCATCTCTAACTCAGTTCTTCTTTGGTGTGGCTCCCATTGCAAACCATGACTTAACTAGTCAATTAATTAGTAAATAATAAACTCATGGAAATCTAAATTACAAATGGAATTGTATTGAGACTGGGGAGAAAAAGGACACTGAAGGTGATGGCCCAGGCAGATTTCTGTCTAAAATTAGGCACCATTTTTTTCTAAGTTTAGTGAAACACTGCTCTCACTATGCAGCATTTCTTTTTTTAAGATGTTCACATTTGGGCAGCCTACTCCACAGCGAACATTTCTGCATGTGAAAATTGGATGACAGGATTCAAAAACCCACAAGTCATCTTAGGTCGATCGTAATAGAAGGTTCTGCAGCGGATACAGGCTCTGTCATCCGCATTCTCCTCCTCTCTGAAGTCTTCTCTTTATTTACCTGCCTAGAAGCTTCATATTACTTCTTGGCTTTGTCTTCCTTTTAGAAATTCTGAAAAAAATTCCTGCCGCTCAGTTCCTTTGTTGGAAAATGCAAATCCAATACCACGCGTAAGGCTATGTGAAGGGTGTGCAGTGCAGGGTGCCCAGTCACTGAATTCTCTTTTCCGCCTGTCAGGGACACCACTAGACAGAGGTCCCAGGGCCCTGCCAAGGTGTGTGAAGGAATGCCAGAGTAGTCACACCACAAAACAAATACCATGGTGTTTGACAGTGTCTTCTTGGAATATACTCTCCTTCCTGGGTCTGTAATTTAAGTAGAATGTTAAGACTTTAACATTCCTAGTCTAGTTAATTCTTGATGATAATGGAAGGGGAACAGTGGTATAAATGATAAAAATTGGGCTCTGTAACAGAGAAGCTTTTGAGGTTACGACGCTGCGTCATCGATAGTAAGAGGAATTGATGCGGGGTCATCCTGGCACTGCTGCTTCATCACCTAACTGCTGTGCCTCAATTTCATCATCTGTGAAATGGGAACAGCAACACTCGCCTCATGGCTTCTTGTGAGGAAGACCTGAAATGCCATGGCAGATGTCCAGCTAGTCTCATCTGCTCCTTGAAAACCACAGGATAATACAAAAGATCAGTTTGCACTGCGGTCCCAGAGCTCAACTCTAGGAAATGAGGTATGAAATTGAGAGTCATGGGCTAGTTGGGACCCCATTGTCTATTTCTGGGACTGACGCTGGTCTGCTCTGTGGCCTTAGACTAGTTGTCTTTATTGCCCTCCACCAAATGGAGTTGGTCATGCCTCTTATCCACCTTGCAGGTGTCATTTACTCACTCATGTTTTTAAAGATTTTATTTATTTGTTTGTTTATTTGTCAGAGAGGGAGAGAGAGAGCATGCACAGGCAGGCAGAGTAGCAGGCAGAGGCAGAGAGAGAAGCAGGCTCCTCGTTGAGCAGGGAGCCTAATGCAGGACTCGATCCCAGGATCCTGGGATCATGACCTGAGCAGAAGGCAGCGGCTTAACCGACTGACCCACCCAGGCGCCCCTTTACTGGTTCATGTTACAGGTAACTAGTGACTGCTTGCACGGCGGCGGGTGGTGGGGAATGCAGTAGCAAGTAGGATGAACAAGATGAAGTCCTTTCCTCCTGAGTTGTACATCCGGCTGGGGAAGACAGGGAAAAACCAGATATGTGGATAAGGGAAGACCGTCCAGGTGACAGGGAGTAAGTGGGAGGGTGTGGAGACGGGGAGGGGATGCCGTTGCAGTGATCAGCAAGGGTCTCTGGTTGAACTGAGAGCTCCACCCAGGGCTTCCCTTGGGAGGCTTATATCTGGTGCTGATAGCACTGGCGGAGCTGAGGATGGGGGTTCCCAAGCAAGGAACTGGGTGGAGATGGGTGGCAGGCACTGAGGTTATGAGCACGTGGAGAGCAACATAATCAGCCATAGGGGGTCAAGAAAGGCTTTTGGGTTGGGGATGGGGGGCGGGAGGGGAGCGGGGCACTTAACTTGAGTCCTGGAAGACAGGTGGGCTAGCCAGGTCAGGGATGAGGAGGGGCCCGGGGAAATGCCCACAGCAGAGAGGACACGAAGACTCTTGGGTGGAAATATACAAGTAATGAGCGGAAGTAGTCATTTGTGAGGAGGTGACGGACACCAACGCATCCAGACTCGGTGTGGACGATTCCGAGCTTGTATGAGCCCTGGAGGAGTGGAGCAGCTGAATGTGGTCTAGCACTTCGAAACCACAGTGTTTCCAACACTACATTACCTCACAATTCATGATTCGTGGATCAATTTCAACTTTTTAAAACCTACTTTTACTCAAACCTTTTCTATTTTCAATCTCAAGCTGCTGGAAGCCGACCAGTTATCCACTGTGCTTTCAGGGCCTGCCACACCACCAGACCGCCTTACTTTGGAGAAGGGGATCGAGTGGATTACCATTTTATCTCTCAGGAAGTTTTTGATGAAATGCTAAACATGGTAAGAACGTTCTCCCCTGTATTACACAAGAGACACTCCTCCTCTGGTAGCAATATTAGGAACTAGTGATAACAAAGAGAAAAATCTTGTGTCTGTTATGAGAGAAGTGTTCTTTTTGGGTTGTTTTTTCTTAAACCACGTGTACATCCTTGTTGACATGCAGCTTTATTTTAGGATCTTGGAGAGAATATTGTAAATTTTCAGTGAAGCTCAATGAGTAGACATTTTAAGAAAATGGAAATAAGACCTCTATGTAAAGTGCTTGTGATTTGTGCTTATTACGTGCTGCTGTTATTTATTATTATTTTTTAAAGATTTTATTTATTCATATGACAGAGATCACAAGTAGGCAGAGGCAGGCAGAGAGAGAGGGGGAAGCAGGCTTCCCGCTGAGCAGAGAGCCTGATCCCAGGACCTGGACACCATGACCTGAGCCAAAGGCAGAGGCTTAACCCACTGAGCCACCCAGGCGCCCCATGTGCCGCTGTTATTAATCAGACTTTACTCAACATAGGCAGTTCTCACAGACCAGTCTGATGTGTGATATGAATTGAGCTTCTCTTGCTGTTGGAGTGTTCTGTCCAGAGACCCCTCCTGTTTGCTATCACTGGTGCTTTCTTCCTTTTTTTTTAAATTTTTTATTTATTTATGAGAGAGAGCAGAGGGAAAGGGCAAGCAGACTTCACACTGAGTGCAGAGCCTGATGTGGGGCTCGATCTCAGGACCCTAAGTTTATGACCTGAGCTGAAACCAGGAATTGAACACTCAACCAACTGAGCCACCCAGGCGCCCCATCACTGGTGCTTTCTAACTGTTGTAGCCCTAAGCATCATTTCATCACGCAGTGTCTCATTCATTTGGCCTGTCCTGGACACATATGTAGCCTTAAGCTTCCATGTTACACATCAGTGCGCACAACTGTAGTAGAGTTAAGCATGGGATCTGCATTTTGAATGCCCAGCTTTATACATTGTGCATGTTTTCTCTTGCATTCACAGAGAAACCCAAATGAGAAAGTCCTATAATCTCTAGGCCGTTTCCCCTCTAACCTTGTCAAAAGAACATTTTTGAGATTCTTTATAATCTTCTCTCCTAGGGCTGTATTCTGGTAGTTGATCTGAATGTATCAAGAGTATTTTGGGATTTTTATATTTCTAAAAGCCTTAATAGAGATAAGAAGCATTATCTTGATATTAGTAAGAAGGATTCCTTTAGGACTCTTAGGGTTGAAAAACAGCTAGTTCCCGAAATTCATTTTAATTTCTCCTGTTATAGTTGGAAGAATTTTTTTTCTTGGTTCAGTTCATCTGTTCTCAGTACCCCATATGCTCCCCTGACGTTCCATACCTTACTGGATCAGTAGTAACTAAGTCTGGTTTAATTCCTAGTCTAAGAAGTCGCTGTACTTACACTCCATATTTGGTTTCGCAGTTTGACTCCCTCTACAAAATCCTTGTCTGTGTGAGTAGTGCTCGTTTTTACTGCTTCTGCTAACGTGTATTACCTCAGTATAATGTCATTTTCTTCAACTGGAATTTTGCTTCTGAGCTCCTTTTCCTAAAGCAAGCTCAAGACTGTTTCACGAAGAGGCAAACCGTGAGCGGTTGTAACTCATGACACATTATCAGCTTCGCCAGTCACACCGACACACTCAGCCTCCTGTGTACACACCCCCGATCCCCGGAACCCCCACCCAGCCAGCCTGCTGCCCCGCCTTGGCAGACTACCCTGGCATACCCAGGCCCCCGGTGCCTCCTGTGGAGGCACCCTCTCCTCCATTCCCTCATCACCTACATGTGGATTGTCACCCCACTGCATGCCTACAGACACACAATCCTTTTTTTTTTAATTTTTTAAAAAAGATTTTGTTTATTTGAGAGAGAGAGAGAGAGAGCATGAGAGGGGAGAAGGTCAGAGGGTGAAACAGACTCCCTGTGGAGCTGGAGCCTGATGTGGGACTTGATCCTGGGACTCCAGGATCATGACCTGAGCTGAAGGCAGTCACTTAACCAACTGAGCCACCCAGGTGCCCCAGACACACAGCCCATTTTTAAGGACATACGTGCAGTCACTTCCCTGAAGATATTCTTCCTCTCTTGTGGAAGTAAGATCACAAACCTGGTGGCTTCTGAAATAGGATTATTGCTGTTTACTAAGAAATCCTCCAGCAGGAAGATGTGAAAGGACTATCACCAGCCAGGAGCTGGAGGATACTTATTCTAAATTTTTTTAAAAGAAGTATAACAAAGCCTGTCTTATATACTAAAGTACAATGCCAGATTCCTCCCAACTCTTCATTCTTCCAGAAAACATTTTTGGGCTCCACAGAGGGTGGCCCTTGTACACACAAGTAAACAAATGCACAGTATTTATCTGAAATGTGTTTCAAAAGTATATTTTGAGGGGCACCTGGGTGGCTCAGTTGGTTAAGTGTCCAACTCTTGATTTTAGCTTAGGACACGATCTCTGGGGTGTGAGATCGAGGCCCATGTCAGGCTCCACATTGGACATGGAGCCTGCTTAAGGTTCCCTCTCTCCCTCTACCCCTACCTTCAGAAAAATTAAAAACAAAAAAACCCGCAATTTGAAAACAGGGTGAGTCACAGTAAGCAAGATAGGATGGGAGATTCAGATAGGGATCTTATCTATCTATATAGATGCAATATATATATGTATTATATACATACATATGATATATGTACATATATAAGATGTAGTACTATTTGCTTCAAAGAACAAAGAAGGCAGGGTGCCTGGGTGGCTCAGTGGGTTAAAACCTCTACCTTCGGCTCAGGTCATGATCCCAGGGTCCTGGGATCGAGCTCCGCGTCGGGCTCTCTGCTCAGCAGGGAGCCTGCTTCCCTTCCTCTCTCTCTCTGCCTGCCTCTCTGCCTACTTGTGATCTTGTCTGTCAAATAAATAAACAAAATCTTAAAAAAAAAAACAAAGAAGGCATGACATTGAAGACATAAAGTATTAGGATATTTGTCACTGAGTTTTTAACTTTTAAAATGCATGATATAAACTCCTGTGGATTATGAAGTGTGTGGATTGTCCTCATCACTTCTAGCAGACACATTCACTAGAGACCCACCACTCCACAACAGGTATTCTGTGTCTCATGGACTTCCAACACCCATGCCACGCCCCCCCCCACCCCCCACTGATAGATGGCCTGTCCCCCATCCCCAAATCTCCAGAACATGTCGGGCCAGGAGGCAGAGGTAGCATAAAGGATTCCTAACGGCTCCTGTTCTTAATGATGCTACCATCCGATGGGATTCAATTCAATTGACGAGATTCATTCAGCCTTGCAAGCTTTCATTTCTTTCAAAATCCCGTGTGTGGGGAGCCACAGTTGCCAAGATCATCCATATTTTTAGTCCTTCTTTTGTCATCAGCTTTCCAGTTTAGATGAGACCTAGTAGCTTAATAAATACAACAGCGTCAAAGGAATGGTCAATTTCGAGAGGCATGTTTTAACTTGGACTGTTTTGCAAGGGAGTACAGCTTTGGGAAGAACTGGGCTTCCAGGAATTAGATGGAAGGCAGTATTTAAACCTCAGATGACTCTAGGGCACACGGCAATTCTGTTGAAAAACATTTGGGGCAGTGTCAATAAAAAGCTATGTTTTATAAGGAAAAACCGAATTGGGTCTGTTTTTCATGGCTTATCTCAGGATGCGAAGGTTTTTAGATGTCCTTGTAATTCATGGCCTTCAGGCTTATCTGGGAATGCAAGGCTTTCGAGAATGGGAGCTTTTTCTGGGGTACCTGGTCTACCAGCATAGCCAACATGGCTGAGGCTAAGAGCGGGCCATCGGTTTTGCTTTCTCAGTAATGACAGTTTATGGTACACGTTTGGCAAGGAAGCAGGTAAATGAGCAAAATGCTCTGTCCTACCAGCAGCTTCACTCTCCTCAGTGCCTTCGCTCTCCTCAAGTGTTTCGTCAGCAGATTACAGGATCTCCAAAAACCCATCTTTTTTTCCAGCTGAGAATTCTGAATAAATTTCTCTACCACATTTTGATATTAAGTTTCATAAACCCATCGTCAGCCTTCTATTTGTAAGTTTTATGGAAACATAGAAAAGTAAGACATCAAATCGTTTTATTTATATTCAGTTTCATTATGGCAACTGTTATATGAAAAACCTCTGTGCTTCTCAAATTTCAGGGGAAATTCATTCTTACCTTTAATTATGGTAGTCACAGTTACGGATTAAATAGGGACACCATAGAAGGTATCGCGAGAGACGGTTTGGCAAGCTGTATTCACATGGAAATAGAAGTAAGTGTCTTTTCATTCAGTCAATTTATTTTAAATGCATGTGTATGTTTATGTGAGTCTATCTATCTATCTATATATATATTTGTGGTTGAGGAGGTGGGGGTAGCACCTAGCACCCTGCTAGGCACAGGGGGTGGCCAGACATGCACAATTAAATAACCAGAGTTATGACAGAAGACATGGATTACACATATGCTAGGAATAGAAGTGCTACTCACGATTCACTTTTTTAAAAAAAAATATTTTATTTCTTTAAGAGGTAGAGAGAGACAATGAAAGAGAGAACATGAGAGGAGAGAGGTCAGCAGGAGAAGCAGACTTCCTGCTGAGCAGGGAGCCCAATGTGGGACTCGATCCCGGGACTCCAGTATCATGACCTGAGCCTAAGGCAGTCGCTTAACCAACTGAGCCACCCCACGATTCACTTTCTCTGTTAATTTCCTCACTACATTCCTCATTTAGGGCATGTGGTCTCTGACTATATGAAGTGATATCCAGGTAAATGTCCTCCTCACAGGCTGTGGAGCTGGTACACTGTCCTCTCGGGACCTGCCTGGCCGCTCTGTGCAGCCGCCCTTGTTCTCTCATTCTTCATGGGAGAGGCATGGGCTGTGCTGTCAGATTCCTGCTGCTCGCAGGTTGCAGTCCATTCCAGCTTGGAGCAATTCAGACTTGCAGATTTCAGGAGATTTCCCTCTCTGCCCCGATATCCCATCTTCCCCAGTGATCTTCTGTAATTAGAATATGCAGAATATTACATATTCTAATATGTAATTAGAATATGGATCCAGTCCAGATCCAGAGTAAAACCATGACTATCCTATCTAATTGTTTTTTTTTAAGATTTTTTATTTATTTATTTGACAGACGGATCACAAGTAGGCAGATAGGCAGGCAGAGAGAGAGAGAGAGGAGGAAGCAGGCTCCCTCCTGAGCAGAGAGCTCCACGCAGGGCTCAATCCCAGGACCCTGGGATCATGACCTGAGCCAAAGGCAGAGGCTTTAACCCACTGAGCCACCCAAGCACCCCCTATTTAATTGTTTTAAAAATTTATGGCTTTATTAAGTATGTGAAGTCTTTAAAGACACGTGATCGTCTTTGGAAGGTAACTTCACTGAGCGGTGTAACAGTTTTGTAGTCAGAAAAAAAGTTAGGAAAATAATTCTGTTAGATCAAACTTACAGAAAACAAAATCTGGGCTGGTCAGATATTCCGTTTCTATTGACTCTGAAACTTCTTTTAAAACTTGTTTTCTTTGTAATTGTCAGAACAGGAGACTGTGATTCCTTTTTGGCTCCTCGGATTGGTGTGGTGCCTCACTGCAGTGAAACTGGGCCTGTTTCGTCCAGCTCTTTAATTTTTCTATTCAAAAATCCCACAATTCTCTTCTTTCTGCAATTGACTGCATTTGCATCTCTAAGGAGGTTTTCTGTGCTAATCACCAAAAATATCTTCCTTGGACAAGGCAGAAACTCTCCAGCTTCCTGTGCTTACCTTCTTCTGGCTCACTGGTTCTCTGAGTGCTGGCTCCCTCCTCCTTTTTCCTCCCTGAGAACTTTCTCCTACTCATTTCCAAGAGGTTGACTCCGTGAACCAGGCCTGGTGTCCCTGGTCATACTGTCATTGGCAGTTTTAGAAATTCTTTTGTAAAAGATCCCATATTTCATCCCCCCCATGTTTAAAACAAAGATTTTGAACATTGAGCTAAACTGCTGATGATGGGATCGAGGTGGAAGGGGCTTTAGAGTTCATTTGGAAGGACTCTTGCATTTCCGCTATGAGGAATTTGGTGCCCGGGGAGCAATTGTGAGATTGGCTCGTGGTCTGCAATAGCTGGCGAGCTGCGGTCTGTCACCACCCAGCCCTCCTGATCCACAGACCACCACCCAGCCCCGCTTCTGGGTGTGCGCTCCTGGCAGCTTGGTTGTCTCTTCTCTGTGTAGAAGCTGTGAGATGTAGCAGGAACCAGCCAACCAGGTTGGTTTAGGAATAGGGCCAGTCCCAAGGAGGTGACAATGGGGTAACAGAGGAGCCTTTCTTCTCTGGTAAGATCTTCATGTCCTGCAGCTGCAGAGGATGCTCTTTGAAATGTAGACTTGAAATTACTTCTCAGTGGGGCATCTGGCTGATTAAGTAGGGTATGTGACTCTTGATCTCTGGGTTATAAGTTCAAGCCCCACAATGGGTACAGAGATTCCTTAAAAATAAAATCCGAAAAAAGAAAAAGAGAAATTACTTTTCAGTATTAAAGACACAACACTACAGTGAATGTACCTGTTTGTATCTAGCAATTTCCTTTATTTATTTATTTTTTTTTTTTAAAGAGGATGTGAGTGGGGACAGAGGGAGAGAGAATCTCAAGCAGGCCTGATGCCCAGTGTGCAACCCAACAATGGGCTCAATCTCATGATCCTGAGATCATGACCTGAGCCGAAATCAAGAGTTGGACACCTAACCGACTGAGCCACCCAGGGGCCCCTAGCAATTTTCTTTTTTAACCATCATGTTTATTAGAGTAATTAATTAGAGGATGACCAGGTAGTTCTTTTATTTCCAATAACAATATTTAATGGACAAAGGGAAGTAATCCAACTTTGAGATATTTATAGGAAAATAATAGCTAATTATCCAAATCTTGTATTACAAGACTACTTATTACACCTATGTTGTCAGATGTCTCCAACATAATTTCTAAATTGTGTGTCTGTTTCTAATTTATCACCTTTTCTTTGAACAAATAGGGTGTAAGAAGTTTGAAATTTTCCTATTTTGAGCCTCGATATATCCTGGTGGTGCCCATGGACAAGGAAAAATATGAGGGATATTTGCGGAGAAAAGGATTATTCAGTCGTGTAGAGATTGAATTTGCTGTGTCCAGAGTGGACCTTTATATTAAAACCAATCAGAAATTTCCAGGATATTTTGATGCGATCATCAATGCAGGTCGGTAACTTTCAGTGAAGTTTTATTTTTGAAGTGTATTGTCACTGGGGGAAAATCTGCTGTAACCTGCATCTTAACTGTTGGCTGACGAAGTTTCTTGTGGTTGTGGAACTGGGTGTCTGCTTCTTTTGTTAGCTCTCTGCCAGGGGTTGCCCTACATCCTAGAGGCTGCTCCCAGGTCGTGTGTGGGTGGCCCTTCTGTCTTCAAGCTGGTGACGGCACATCACATTCTCCTCATGCTTCAAGTCTCTGCTTTCCTCTTCTACCAGAAAACCCTCTTCCTTTATGGGGCTCATGTGATCCTGTGTAGGCCCACCTGGAGAGTCTCCCTTCTGATTAGCCCAAACTCAACTGATGAGCAACCTTCGTTACGTTTGCAAAACTCCCTTTTGCCATTTAACATGACATAATCACAGGAGTAACACCCTCTCACGTTCACAGGTTCTGCCCACACTGAAGGAAGGCAGTTATCTGAGGGTGAAGTGTCTCGAGGGTCTCAGAATTCTGCCTACCACAATAGTCGTAACTTAGATGTAGCTTAGAAAATCATTACCACCATCAGTTGCAAATTGGCTGTATTTTGTTATGATTCTCTTGCCTTAAAGTACCTTCTCTCATTTACTGTAGATGATCTGGAAGTTGCCTACCAAAAGCTGAGTCACCTCATCAGAGAATACCTTGGATTGTCTGAGGAAACATCCAAGAATTTGGCTCCGACTGCAGGTACTACGCTCTCCCTTTTTGTGCCAGGGAAACCAGTCTGAATTGTGATGTGGGTACTTGTCAGCCAGGCTCAAGCTGGTTCTAACGCTTTAATCCCCCTCCTTCCTCCCATGTGATTGTCTTCACAAGTGAGCTACGTGAATCAGCCCCCTGGACCTGTCCCTCTCCTTGTCTGGGTGGCCATAGTGGCACTCACAGGGCTGTCCTTCAGGGGCATGCTGGCCAGTGCCTCCTTGGTGGTTTATGGTAAATAAGGGCCAGCCTCCTGGTTCAGAACTCAGCCTTCCAGAAGTTTGGCTCCCTGAGGGAGCTGAGGTGGCATTCTGCTCGGCAAGTTTGTGTTTAGTGTTGTTTTCAGCCAATAGATTTCTTTCTCCTCTTTGCATTGCCACAGTCCTCCAAGTGTCTGGTACTAGAGAGGATAGCGGAAGAGCACGGTCAGAGGGTGTGAGCCTGGTTGTGGTCCTCCCGCTCCCTTGGGCAAGCTGCTTTGCTGTTCAGAACTTCACTTGACTATCGTGCTAGATGGAGTTGATGCTCTCCATTGAGGGAGAGTTAGTGCCTCATGGAACATGTGCAGCAAACAGCATGGGCTGTAGAGCAGTGTCTCTCCTCGAATCCAGGAATTATAAAGCCTTAACTTAGAATTTTGGCACATGAATATTTTGAGATGTATTTAGAAGGTTCTCCCCAATCCACCTCATCCCCACTCAGATGGCTGACTATGAAAAAAACAACAGAAAATTAGCGTTGGCAAGGATGTTGAAAGATTGGGAAGGTAAAATGGTATAGCTTCGATGGAAAACAGTGTAGTCGTTCCTCAAAAATTAGAAATAGAATCACCACATGATAGAGCAATTCCACCTCAGGATTTCTACCCAGAAGAACTGAAAGCAGGGACTCGCACAGGTACTTGTACCCCAGTGAACTGCTGCATTATTCACAGCAGCTGAGAGGAGGAAGCAACCCAACTGTTCGTCAACAGGTGAATGAATCAACTAAATGTGGTTGATAAATACCGTGGAATGTTATTCAGCCCTAAAAAGGAAGGGGCTTCTGTCTGACACACACCACAAGGAGGATGTGTTCTGCTAAGTGAAGTAAGCCAGTCACAGAAACACAAATACAGTCTGATGCCCCTTTTATGAGGTACCTAGACTCGTCGAATCCATAAGGACAGAAAAATGGGATGGTTGCCAGAGGCTGGGGAGCGGGGAGGAATGGAGTGTTGTTGTTTAACAACTACAGAGTTTCACTATTACAAGATGAAACGAGCTCATGGGCTTCATTGCGCAACAGTGTGAATATCCGTAACACTACCGAACTGAACACTTAAAATTGGTGGGGATGACAGACTTTATGTTCTGTGTAGTTTTTGCCACCTGAATGAAGAAAAAGAAGGTCCCCTCCAGTGGGCTGAACAGCTCTCACATATCACATATTGTAAAATGTTGATGTGAGACCCTGGCTTGCTGTGTGTTCACGTGCTTTGGCCTCTGTGACTCTTGGCCCAGTAGGACTTTGCTGGCCGGGTTGGGGCAGGCCAGGCCATGATTTTGCCAGAGTTGAGACTGGCAGTGCCCTTTAGCAATTTTACACACTTTTTTCAGGTCAGGGACCTCTGGAATGAGGTCAGTGTGACACTGGTTTGCAACCAATAGAACAGAGTGAGGCTGCCCTTCCATGTGTTTCTTCTAGAAGACAGGTGACCAGGGTAGGACTTCCCACCTGCAGAGGAGTGGAAGAAAGTGTGCCCTGTGTGCAGACAGGCTTCATGGAGGACTGGAGGACTATGCCCAGTCTTCGAAGGGGGGACATTCAATGAGGAGGATGCCCTTGTGTTTATCCACATGGATAAACTCCCATCAGTTTTTTAGAAAGCCATGCTGGGCAAGGGGCATGGCATATCTCATGAGGCTTTGAGAGCTGGATGGAAGTCTCTCGTGAGGAAATCTGCCTCTCTTTGCTTTCAATCTTTGCTAACCTGGTAACTTCTGATCTTTAATTTGGTCCCCCGGGTGGAGCTGTTCCACTGGGGGTGCGCTCCTATGTTAGAACACCCTGCCCTGATCCCTGAGCCGGGCCCGGCTCCCACTGTGAATGAATCAGTTGGTGTTCCGGCTTTTAAATCAGCCCCTTGAGGATTTAGATGAGCGTGAGGCCGTCCCCCGAGCCTGACCAGTTCTGAGAAAAGGAGTGAAGCGTGTTTGTCAGTCCGTAACATAGAGGGCACCTGCGAGCTGTGGCGTTTGAGCTGGATCTCAGCCAGCGGGGCTCCTGCTCTCCATCATTCCGTATTCTCCATCACTCCACATTCTGCGACCACCAGGATGCTGACGATTCGGTGCAGTTGCCATTTGGTGAATTAATAGACCAGATAATGTATGCATAGGAAAACAGACTCCCGTTTTTAAAGGGTAAAATGAAACTTCATTTATTTAGACCAGTTGGGTTCGGCCTGTCTGATTTAATGGAAAGTATGAATTATAGAATTTGTTAAAATGTTCTCCCTCTCAGACACACTGCATAACAGTCATTTGGTTATTGACTCATGGAGCCTCTGCTTTAAAAAGTAGAGGGAAGGTTTATAATTAATGCATTAATTCAGTGGCCTGCATAGACCCCTGTTTTCTTGGCAGGGTTAGCGTTTGGGAAAATGATGTGTTTTCTTAAGAAGCCAAACCACCTCATTTTATTTAAATAGTCCATCTGTGGAGGACATTACTGTCTTCTGTCCATGGTTTCAGGATAAATTTGCACTTAAAGTGACTTTGTGGAGGCCAGATGTGATTCAAGTGAGTCTTTAAAAATTCTAATGAGCATGGTCCTTACTAATAAAGCTTTAAAAGGATCTCTAGTGGCTCAAGAGTAGAGCCAGGGGCCTTTTGGAGCTTGAGGGCTTGAAGTCTATGCCAAGGAGGACAGGCCCCCATGTTCAGGGGTTCACTGCAGGTGAGCAGGGCCCAACCATAACCACCCCAAAATGAGCGTCGTGACTCCCCGAAAAGGGACCAGAGCCCCACCAGGGTCACTGCCCCAGGACTGGCTGGCTTTGCATTTTTGCTTCCATTCTGAGCTGGGTCCCTCTGATTTTAAATTCTGTAGTTCTGTATGTTTATGTAAAGACTTACATTACCTATGTAAGTATAAATGAGAGCCCTGGAAAGAAAAGATCAGTAATTTCAGCATAGTTGAAATATTTTTAATATTTAATTGAGCTGTCAAAGGTAAGAAATTGAAATAAAAAATATTTAAGGTTCTATGAAAGACCAATTAGAAAATTGAACTGGAAATTAGAAGCCTTAGTTTCATATTCCAAATTTCACCAGTAATCATTAATTTGGTCAGAGAAATCACTTTGAACTGCCATTTCTAAACAATAAAGCCGTACATATAATATTATGGAACATTCTGGAATTTGCTGAGGTTTTCCCCCTTAGATTAGATTGCCTATAAGTTAGGCTTCAGTACAAACCGAAATCTGGTGGCTAATGGCTTTGTTTTCATGGAAGCAGGAATCCTGTACCAATGCCAATTGAGAAGTATTCCTAGATATTTGAAGTAATAATACATAGCCTTATCTTCAGTAATTTCATGTTGCTAATTTGTAACTGAGAATGCAATTTTAATTTCTACTCTTAATGATGAAAGTAGAACAAAATCGTAAAAATAAGCCTGAAGTCTATCAGTATAGCAAGCACATCAGCCTCGACCCAGAAATGCAGACCTTTACCAGAGGAGAGACTAATTGAATTTCCATTAAATGCACATACAAAATAGTAATGTTAGGTACAAAGTGATTCTAAAACCTCAAAATACTGAGACATACCATTATAATTAATGCCATTAATTAAAAATATTTATCAACCATGGTATGGGTGATCTTATTTTTTTTCCCTTATAGCAGTGCCAGGTAATACTCATTTCTAAAGCACGATAACTAAAAAAATCCTGAGCAAACAGTACAGTTTTTATGAAATAAAAAACTCACTTTATTCACAACTCAGTGTAAGAGATGTCTTTACCTTCCGTGTGTCTCTCTACAGCCTATTTCTGGAATACTCATCTGGTGCTCCCAATAAAGCTTTTAAAAAGCTGATCCAACTACCACCCTGAGTTCCTGCTATAGAAATCATAAAATAAAATTATATTTGCAAATCATTATTTAGATCTGACTAGTGAGAGAGGAAAATGATGGTGATGATGAGTCAAATGGGGAAATTGAGCAATTTACTAGGTCCCACATGGTGTCTTTATCTCTAATAAAGGGCAGGGTTTCATTTGCCAAATGATGTGAATTGTCAAATTCTAAAAGTGGGGTGAAAAAAATCCTTGTGTGTCTGATTCTAGGAAACGGGGTTTACAAAGAGAAAGAGCTTTCAGCATTGGATTTTACTGTTCTTCTGCCTTTCTATTTTTCAAAATTTCTTTTTGCATGTGATTAAAAAAAACATAAAATTAGCCATTTTAGCCATTTTAAGTGTACAACTTAATGGCATTAACTACATTCACAGTGTTGTATAACCATCCCTACTACCTCTTTCCAAAAGTTTTCATCCCTCCCACACAGAAACTCTATTCCCATTAAGCAATAACTCCCCCCTTTAGTCCCTGGTAACCTCTAATCTACTTTCTGTCTCTATGAATTTGTCTCTTCTAGACATTTTTACTTTTCTTATATTTTAATTTAGCCTTGTTTCTTGACTAAATTTGTATTTACTCTATTACTGTCATGAACTAGGGAGATGGGAATGATGAGCGGAGCCATCCCCTCAGAAATCCCACCAAGTGGCAAGATTTACCTTGTCCCCACTCTTCCCCAACCCCTCCCCAGAGATGTCTGGTTCAGCTGGAGGCACAGGCTACCTCTCCAGACGAGGAGGTTCAGGGAGGACCCGGAGTAGTCCAAGCCCATCTTCCTCTGTGGGGGAGAATGGACCGTTGCCAGGAGCCTGGTTTGCTTCTGGGGATGGACAACCGTGGGGTCACCTTGGAGGTCT